GTTGGAAAGGAAGCATGGAAATTCAAGATAAAACGAGAGGCCAGGGAAAGTGGCCACACTTTAGCATCCCTGTACCAAAGCAGCTTTTTGTTTTTTGAGTTCCTATGAGAGAGCTATCTAGTATTCAGAGTTTGTCACGATTTAGCTTTCTTTTTTTAATAGTTAGCTCTGAGTTCTCTTTTAAGTGAGGATTTTGATAATTTTAAAAGGAATTTAGTGATAGATCTTGCTTATAGATGTTGTGCAGTTGTTATGACTAATTTCCCTAGTTCTGTCCCAGAGTCTTAAGTTTCTAAATTTACTGCTGTGATGAAGGTCCCCAAGGCCACTCCTAGGTTCGGTGATTCAATACAAAGATTCAGACGACTCAGCATGTAGTCATACTGACGGTTATGATTCATTACAGCAAAAGCTACACAGCAAAATCAGCAAAGGGAAAAAGCTCATGGGGTGATGCCTGGAGAAAACGCGGCATAAGCTTCCAGGGGCCTTCTCTCGCTGGCGTCACAGCGGACGGGCTTGACCCCTCCGCCCAACTGTGAATTGTGAGGCCACGTGTGAAGCGCCGTGGACCAGGGAGGCTTGGGAGAGACGTGGTGCCTGTGGCTGTGCCGAGGCCCGGAGGCTCGTCACCCAGGTGCCCTCCGCCCAGCACCACTCAGACCTCCGCGATTCGGGAGAAAAGCAGCGGTTTATCGTAATTCCTGTGGTTCAGGCAGTGAGCCGCTCTCTCCAGTCTGGGGAAGGGTGGGGCTCGCCTGGAACCCAGGTTCCCAGACACCAGCCACGGCAGGCCTTTCAAACAGCACTCTCAGGCCTGCTATGTTAACTCTTTTATAGCCAGCTTTTTTTGGTCTTTTCCTCCTGTTATGCAAATCAGAACATTTAAAGAATGCTTTTATATAACACTGGGAGGCTATATGGGGAGAAGTAGAGGCAAAAAAAAAAAGGATGTTGCATGTTTTGGTGGTTACTTTGGCATTTTCCTCCCCAGATGAGTACTTTAAAATTCCTATATTACCCCATTACTATTTGTCAAAAACCAATTCAGGCTTATTGCCAAGTGTTACTTGTGAAGCTGTGCTCCAAAAACCGTGCTGTGTGTTCTTGGGTGACCTTTTTCTATGAAAAATTACACCAGTTCCTAAAGAATGCACAGAATGAGAGTAAACTTTTGCAAGTCGTGTATCTGATAAGGGACTTGTATCTAGAATATATAAAGTACTGTTACAGTTCAGTAATAAAAAACAAATAACCCAGTTTTAAAGATGAACAAAGTATCTGAATAGGTATTTCTCCAAAGAAGATTACAGATGGCCAATAACCCCCCCAAACATGTTCAGCGTCATTCGCCATCAGGAAAGGCAATCAAAGCTATAATGAGAAGCTGCTTTCCACCACCAGGAGGGCTGTATCAAAGACAGGTGATGCCGTGTGTCAGGTAGGACGAGAAGTCGGAACCCTCCCGCACTGCTGGTGGGAATGCAAAATGGTGCGGCTGCTGTGGCAAGCAGCCCGGCGCTTCCACAGAGAGTGAGGCACAGAGTTGCCGTAGATCTAGCAATTCCTCTTCTAGGTATACACCCCAGAGAAATGAAATGTGCATAGCAGCGTTATTCGTCATAGCCCCCAAGTGGGAACAACCTCGTGCCTATCAAATGATGAACGGATAAGCAAAACGTGATAGACTCATATTCACATAATGGGACAGTACTCAGCAGTGAAAAGAAATGAGGTGCTGGCACATGCTGCCATGTGGATAAAGTCTGAAAGCCTTATGCTGAACGAAGCCCGTCACAAAGGACCATATATTGTGTAATTTCGCTTACATGAAGTATCCAGAATACGCAAATCTATGGAGATAGAAATCAGATTAGTGGTTGGCAGGAGCTGGGTGGATAGAGGTTTGGGGTGAGTCCTAAGGGGTGCAGGGTTTCTTTTGGGGGTAGTGAACATGTTCTAAAATTAATTGGGGTAATGGATGTACAACTCTGTGAAAATACTGAAAGCCATTGAATTGTACACTTTAGATGGGTGAATTGAATAGTGTGTGAATTTTATCTCATAAAACTATTAGAAAATTTTACCAGTTCTTAGGAAAAATAAAGTGATTTTTTTTATCCATTATTATGAAAAGCTGACCTGTAATACTGAGGTATTAATACAATTCATAATTTAGATTTTCAGACATGAGTCAGTTATTAACTGCCTGGGAAAAGCACTTGTTCATTCTGAAGAATGTGGTTAGGAAATGTGTTGAGGAAAAATCAAGAAGAAGCCCTGGCTGGTGTAACTCAGTGGATTGAGCACAGGCCTGCGAACCAGAGGATCGAGGTTCCATTCCCAGTCAGGGCACATGCCTGGGTTGCAGGCCAGTTCCCAGGAGGGGACTCATGAGAGGCAACCACACATTGATATTTCTCTCCCTTTCTCCTTCCCTTCCTCTCTAAAGATAAATAAATAAAATGTTTTTTAAAAAATCAAGAAGAAATGACACCATACTGGGAATAGTTGAGGCATTTTCTGCTTTGCTTTATGACGTACATACCTCTCTGTTTCTGTCAAATGTCTTAGTTTAGACATAGAACTCCATTTTCCTCATCTAGTACTTAGCTGCTGGTGTTGCCTGAGAAGGAACTGAACTTTTTCATCAAGAAGTTCTTGGCTGGAAGCTTTTCTCCCAGGGGTCTAAGTGTCAAAATGCTAAGGAGGGGATGGGCTCATCCGTTAGCCTTTGACTATTAAGTCATATGGATTTGCACCAGCTTGCATTTGAGTAAAGGAAGTGCGTTTTCTGCCCACTTGCTTTTGTTTCATTCAGAATTCATCAATTCACTTAACTATACCAGCACATCTTGTCTTGTATATATTTCTGTCCCTTTCGGCTCTCAGTTAAGGAAGGCACAGCTGAGAAATGCAGTCTGTGTTCCATTTAGGCTGGTGCTTTGTATCAGTCCCATTGTAACTGAGCACAGGGGGGCCCGTCCACGTGCCGCCTTGGTGTATACCCAGCAATCAGCATTGGAAGAAACAGGTTTTTATTTATAACATTCCCACCTCGAGGGGGTGGGAGAACTTCAGCTCAGGGCCCTGTTCTCCTATGAGATACAACACTTGCTCCCCCAAAGGCTATAAGCCAAAGGCCCTGAAGTTCCGCATATCCTTATCTGTGCTTAAGCAGGCTGTGCAAACGGTCTCACAGCAGCTCCCTCCTTCAGGATCTGGGGTACGTTGTCAGCAGCCTCCGTGTTAGAGTCCAGGAAAACATGTGCTATTTGGCGTGGGATCATGGTGAAGTCTAGGAAAGGTACAAGTCCCAAGAGTCTGGATAGAGTCTGGGTCCATGAGGCAACAGGTCAGTGTCTTACAGGGCGGGGTCCCTGGTGGCTCTGGAGTCAGCTAGGGCAGCACCATTAGAGCGGCAGCATGTCCCCTTCCTTACTGTACCAGGACGCATGGTGGGATCCTGACTGCAAACTACACAGCTGCTTGCTTACTCCTCTCTCCCCGTGGCTGCTACACCATTGCTCTCCTTCCTCATGGCTCCCTGCTTACTAAGCCCTTTCCAAACCACATGGTTACTCTGCTCACTACCAGCGACATGGTTCTCCCCTTATGGCTGCCTGCCCTTAGTTTAAATCCTGACCCAGAGCTTCCTGCATGACCTTCCTCTCTGACCCCTCCCACAATGGGCTACATTTGCCAGTTTCCCTGTATTGTTCTACCTGCTCTTGGCTGCCACCTCTAGTCAGGACGAGTGTGACTCAAAACCCCTGCAGCACCCCGGCTGATCCATACACATCTGGAAAGACATGGCTATCCCCTTGCCATTATAATGCACATCCCCCAGCCAAGCGCTGTGGCGGTTTTCTGGAGACCCCCCCCCCACTCTGCATCTTGTTACACCACGTGAGTGTCTAGAATGGGAAAAGGATGAGGAATCTGGGGCGACTTTCTTATTCCTCCTGAGTCAAGTTCTCATAGTGACTTCAGACTGCTTTTTGAAGTATTGTCCATCCTTAGCCAGATCATCCCTCAGATTTATCTTCAAAGGCACATATCAAAGTACATCCTAAAACCACATATAAATGAATTTTAGATTGGCTGCGTGTTAGATGATTCACATCACTACTGCCGTTGTCATCGCAAATCGTCTCTGCACAGTTGTCAAAGGGACAAGCGGCTGTGGCTCAGTGGGTGTTTCAGAAACAATACATTTTTTAAATTTCCCAGAGATGACATCATTATATATCTTGAAATCTCAGCGAGGACATGCCTCCCTACGGAGTAGGGACACTGAGGAAGGTGAGACCCTGTATCCTGTTAGCTGCCCCCCGCATCGCTGTCCCCTTTCTTCCGGAAGCTGTCCCGTATGACTGCATGGTGGTGTGGGCTGCAGAGGACGCGGGTGATCTGGTTTCCTTGGTGATCGGGCTCTCGCAGATCCTTCAGTTTAGTCTCGTGAGTGATGTAGAACCAGCGAGCAGATACCCTGCTTCTTTGGTGTTTCTGTGATGGGTGGTCTTTTAAATCCCTTGGGGGGTTTGAATTCTGTTCACTGTACTTAAATCTGTACTTAAACAATAGTAAGTATGATTCTTAGCACAAATTAGTTGTGTATTTGAAAATGGCTAGTAAAATGAACACCCGCACAACTTCATTGAGCAGGCAAGAATCAGTCTTTCAAGCAAAATGTATCTGTCTTCATCCGCGCCCTGAGTAGCTGGTGTCAGGGAGCCGGACTGCCCTTAGTTTGGACGTTATGGGTCAGTGGACTGGAAAAGTCAGCTGTGAGCCAGCACGGTGCAGGGCGTTCTCTCTCTCTCCTCGTCTAAGCCTGTCATCCTGCAGGGCTGCTGCATGCAGCCTCATGGTGCTATGCAGTACAGAACCACACCAGGCAACTCAGCCAGCGGGCCTTTGTGGCAACAGGAAGAAAAAGCTGGTGGAGGTCTCATCCGTGCTTGTTTTCTCTCTCCCGACTCCTGCATCCTTCCCAGGCAAAGGTGGAAGAAAGGATCCAAGAGGTCTTCAGTGCTTACAAGTTCAACCACCTTGTACCAAGGTAAGCCGTGATTGGGAGTTTGAGAGGGCTTGGGAGATACCCCCTCCTGTGGGGGGCTTTCTTCTTTCCTCCTTTTTTGAAAGTTGATTTGACACAGAGAGAGAGAAACAGCCATTTGTTGCCCCACTTCACTGGTTGATTTTCGTCTGTGCTCTGACCAGGGATCAAACCTGCAACCTTGGGGTATGGGGACGACACTCTAACCAGCTGGGCTATCCACCCAGGGCTCCCCTTTCCACCTTGACTTTATCCAACCTCGGGGGATGAGTCTGCTGCGAGACTGGTGCTTCTTGACCTTGTGGCTACCTGGATGTGTTTATGATGCCAACTCCGCCCTCTATTAGAGTGCAGTTGGGAGATGCTCCACTTGAACTGAGCCAGCAGGTGTGACATGGGGATGCCCCTGGAGGCCTGGACTCTGCGGGCTGAAGATGGAGAGAGGCAGTTCAGGTTCTGTCGCTTAGTTGTGAGCTGCTTCTCTGGTGTTCAGATGAGAACTTGCAGGTTTTTCACATCGCACTTTGGGTCCAGATGCAGGGTCCAGGGGCATGGCAGATGATGGATTCTTTGATATACATTATTACTTGACTGGGAAACTGTGGGAAGTTTGAGCTTCTCCCAGGCTGGCCCTTGTTGGTAGCTGTGCAGCAGATCCCAATGATGACATTTCAAGTGGGCAATGTAAGGCCTTTTGTTTTCCTCAGCACTAAGCAGGTCGAAGTCTTCTAAGCTCTTTGGTGTTAGAAATTCCGGAAAAGGGATTATAAGCAGAAACTTATTATTCAGGGCCTGGCACAAATAATGCCCCCTTTTTTTAGCACAGGCATGTAATTCTGTAACATAACACTGTTACACTCAAGCACACCATGTGACATTTTGGGTGAAATGTTCAAATTAAAACTATAAGTTATGACACCCACGTTATTACCCTACCAGCCACACTCAGGGAGCTGTCACTTCTGCTGGGCCCTGTGTAATGTGAACCTGTATTTTTGCTTTTTTCTAGTTTTCTAATGTATCCCAGTAGAATTGCATGAGGTTACATCATTCCTTTATTAGCATTTTTCTTTTAGTCATAAATTATTTCTCCCAAACTGTCCTGTGTTGTATTTCCAGCCCTCAGAAAGGACTAGTCCTGAACTGTGCGTGGTCCTCATTCTGTCTCAGGGATGCAGCACCTTCCCGAGACCCCTCTGAACGGAGCTGGTCAGGCCGACACACTCCCCGTGGGAAGCTGGGGGTCTCACGTCCAGCCAAACCGCCCGTGTCCTGTCTCCCAGCTTCCCGAGGCCTTCTCAACAGCCTGACCTCTGGCCAGTTAGGCTCTGGGATCTTCTGCCTCCTGGGACATTGCAAATGGTTCTAGCCTGAGTTAACGCTGTGTCTTTTTCACCACCATTCTATTTTGCCACTATTTCCTTGAAAAAAATTTTTTTTCTCTGAGAAAATTAGCCAAGGCAGAGAATCATCAGAAAAGGCAAACTGGAAAAAGGGAAAGATGGGTGGAAATGTTATCTTTATCTTCCTTCCCTGGAGAAGGAAAGAAGGAAAATGCCAATTAACAAGAGGAGTCTTTCCCTGAACTGATCAACTGAATCTCTGCATTCACTCAAAGCTCAAACCTCAATAATGAATTATTGCTTTCCCCTCCCCCTTTCCGCCACAGTCAGGGGTTAGCAAGTGGCACCATTTGTTTAAATAGCTTGGAGAGAATGAACTCTCTGCCCAAGACAGGCTGTGTCTGCAGTGGTGCTGGGACCTGGTGGTCAGGTGCCTGGTTGTAGTGGGAGGGGATTTGTGGTAGCAGTCACATCCCGGTGACTCACCTGGCTGGGCTCTGAGTCACTGTCTGCTGTCTTCAGCTCTGCGAGCAGAGGTCCTTTGTGTTGCCAAAGGCACTGTTGACCATTTGGCCTTCCTTGTTCACTCACCATCATAATAGAGCCCATGGGCTTTTATTCTTCCAGAGCTGTGAGGGAGAAAGGCAGGTACAGTCTGGGAGGATGAGGCTGTTCTGTGGGAGTGAGGATAGAAAATGAAAGAGGACTGGTCTTCCGTCGGATGTGGGAGAGGAACCCAAATGCTCCTCTTGGGTTGGGATCCTTTGTGGACATAGAATATATCAGGGCTCAGGGTTTGTTTCAGGGATCTAACATTTCCCATTTTATCACTGTTGCCTTGAAAATGATTATTTTAAAGGATGCTAATGGGCATCTTATGTTACACACGCTAATAAATATTAGAGATATTATACATTTTGGCTGAATGTCTGAGTATACAAATTAACATATCAATATAAAATTGAAGTCAAATATCACCACCACAGAACAAACTTATAGAATATAAGAATAAATCTGAAAAACTTATCAAAATTTTAAATTCTAATCACAATTTTAGTATCTAACATTTCAGCAGTCAGATTTTAAAAGTTTGACATTATATTGTAGGAACAAACCTTTATTATTAGCTAGAGTGAATATTTAGGTGTTGGCAGTGAGTCTGGATGTCATGGCTTGTTTGTTTTTCTGAGGTCATGATGCTGATCAGAGGTGATAGCGTCACACATACTCCCAGGACTTCTGACTGAGCACAGGACCAGGGAGCCCAGCAGTGTTGCTGAGGGAGGCATTTGCCTATTCAGCTTTCCAGAGCCACAGCCAAACAGCAGATCTGGCTGAAATTCAAGGCTGAAGCTGGATGTCAGTGCATTCTACAGTCATCCCCCATCCCAGAAGTGATTTTAGTCTCCCTGAAAGACTGCGAAGCACATGCATGAGTGGGTCTGTCCCAAGGAGCTTTTTGACCATCGTTTTCATAGTTTTGTTTAGCAGGGTGCTGCTTTCCCGTGGTAGTTAAGTTCTCCTTCCCCATAGTTAGTTATTCTTACTGTCCCACACACTTATGCACTGACCCTTTTCCATTAGTTACATTACCTTTAGTGAGGAACCTGAAATGCATAAACTAAACACACACATTTCCTTTCTCTCTCTCTCCCTGTACCCCCAACTCAGATATAATTTGAAAATGGTTTTTTTTCTTGGGAAAAGTGCCTGGTACTCCTTGGACCTGAGGAATATTGCTAATGGCCTGTGGTAGCAGAGCAGTGAACATTGAGTGTTGACAATTGCCCCGAAGTTAAGATGCTCTGAGTTCAAGCCCTGCTTCCATGTTTTTTTGCCATTTCTGTATGTGATGCTGTCTTAGAAGTCCCCAAGTCTTCACCACTTAGAAGATACAGCTCTTCATACTGCTCTGCCCAAGGTCCTTTCTTACAAACAAGTTCATCTCCTTCCCATGCTCCCTCAAGTGACTTATTACTTAAGTGCCAGAGGCTAACTTTTGGCCTGCAGATGCCCCTGGCTTTGGTGGGTTTAGTGTCTTCCCAGGAGCCAACAATGGACTGAGTCCCTGTCTTCTCTGCTGTTCCACCTAAAGGCACGGTTCTCAAGGATGGCCTGGGTTTAGGGAGAGGAAGTGTGCTGTCTGTCATTCAGTCCACCGTATTCCTTTAAACTCATTCATCCCTTCACTCCTTCTTCAGGAGTATCTAGAGGTTCTCTTGTTGAGTTGCTTAATTCAGCCCACTAAAAATACTAATTCCCATAGGAAAGGTTAACCTCTGGCTGATGGGTCTCCTGCAGTGTTGTGTATGTGGACGGACACACAGGAGAACTGACAGACAAACCCCTGGGCCCAAGCAGATACACTCCTGAGGCTAATTGCCCTTCTCCTTGGCCTCTCTGATTGTACTTTAAATTCCCTTGGAGATTCATCATTCTTCATATTGAGGGACATATGTCCAGGGAAAACAGTCTCTTTGTTGGTTAGAAACTGACCTTGCCATTCCTTTGTTCTTTCTTTTGCTCATTTGACAAAAAGCTGTTGAGACCTGTTTGGTGCTAGGCGCAGATGCCGAAGACAGACGTGAGCTGGCTCACAGGGTCACAGGCAGCCGGCCAGGCAGGCACACTGAGCAGATAATTCCACCCAGCACATGCCCCTTCTCACCTGGCCCTTTTCCCAGTGTCGTGCTTATTTACAAGAAACCTTTAATCCTGGTACTTCTAAATGGGGTGACTGGTGTTCTGCTTTGGAACCGAGTATTTTTCCTTCCCTCTGGTTTAGCGTCACAAGGTATTGAGCATATCTCAATTCCTTTGCCTGTTTTTTAGGTATAAAGAATTGACCTATAGAAAACCCCACTGTGAATCGGTCCTTTCAGAGTTCTGTGCTTGCCCTCACCTGGCTGGGGTTTCTCAGCCTCCTCTCACTTCCTGAGCGGATGCCTGCCTGCCCTCATCAATGGTCTCTTGGTTCTTCTCAGCCGTTGTACCCATCGTGGCCACACCCAGCCTGCTCAGCCTGGGCCAGTGCGTATCATGAGCTATTTCTTCAGTTCTGATCTCATTCAGTTCCTTTACAACTCTGCTTTTCTGCTCTTCCCATCTTACCTGTCCTTACCACAGCATCCCCATCGCTGCTTCTGTTAATGGGTCCCAGCAAGGTTTCCAGGAAAACAAAATCATACAACAGAGCCAGCAGAGTGGCTTCACCAAAAGTTGAGACTACTTAGCTTCAGCTGGGCCTTCACTACTGCTTTCTCACCCTTTCATTCATCTCGTGTAGATTCCCTAACACACTCACCACGGTGGCCAGTCCACAGCTCTCCCATGGTCTCGCCTCCTAATACCTGAGAAAATTGAGCTGTCCCCCATTCATCTCCACAGTTTCCCTCTTCCCCACTTCAGAGTCCTAGGTTTGTCTAACCGAACACTCTCTCCCATCATTTCTATCTCCAAGAATGTAGAATCCTTCCCTATTGCCAAACTCACCTCCCCTACTGAACCCTCCATCCCAACCCTCCTGCCTCCCCGCCAGGCCCCCTCCTTGGTGGATTTGGTCTGGGCTCTTGCATTTTCAGCATCTCCCCTTTCCTCACCCCTCCTCTATTGGAACCGCTTGTCTTCACCCATCAGGCCACTGCTCTTGTCTTTCTTCCCTTGCAGCTACCACAGACTCACTTAGATGGCGGGTTTGGTTTCCTGCCACTGGCCTTATGACCACCCAACCTATTCAGTACGCTGAAGCTGGCGCCACGGAGAAAATGCAGATCTCACCGTGTCTTTCCTGTGCCTGAAATATTTCAGGGACTCTCTTGAAACATTTTTATTAAAAATATTTTTATAACAGTTTTAGTTCATATATCACACAATTCACCCATTTAAAGTGTAAACATTCAGTGGTTTTTAGTATATTTAGAGTTGTGCAACCATCACCACAGTTAATCTAGAACGTTTTCATCTCTCCCAAAAACCCATCAGCTCTCAGCCTCCAATTCCGACCGCCCCTGCCTCCAGCCCCTGGCAAACAATCTACTTTCTGTCTCTAAGGATTTTCCTACTCCAGACATTTCACTTAAATGGAATTATACAATATGGGGTCTTTTCTGACGCCTTCTTTCACTTAGCAGAGCGTTTTCAAGGGTCATCCGTGTTGTAGCACAGCGGCTCCCGTTTGCCCTTCACACTCCCAGTGCACGTTGAAGTCCGCCTCTGTAGCTCTCCAGTCTCATTTCTTGCTGCTCACTGCCTTGTGCCTTGGCTCCAGCCGAACTCAACCAAACTCACTGGAATGCGCCACAGTAGCCCCTGCATTTTTCCCGGCTGAATCATGCCCTTTGGGTCTCCTTCACTCATTGACTCAGTACTGTGTCCTTCGAGAAGTGTGTTCTGACCCTCCGTGCCTCCCCCTGTGCTGCCGGAGCCCAGTGCCTTCTTGATCACAGTGTTTGTCGGACAGGTCTGTACTTGCCATTGACTTGCCTGTGTTCATCTCCCGACCACAGCTTGAGGGAGCTGTCAGCATCCAGCCCAGCCCTGGGCCCTCAGCGTCCGCAGAGTGGGTGTTCACTGAGTCCTGGCCCCTGCACCTCCTTCAAAGAGCAGTGCAGTCTGACCTCCTCCTCTTCTGTATGATCTGGAATCTGCACCCATCGGCCCCTGAACTCTCTGGAATCTGCACCCAGAGGTTGCCAGCCCCTCTGTGGTTTGTGGTCCTTTTCCTCAGTCTTGCTGCAGCGTTTGCCACTGCTCCACACCTCCATGAAATTCCCTCCTCCCAAACTGCCTGTGTCCTTCCCCGGCTTACGTAACTCTCTTTATTTGTCTCCTCTGGCTCCTTGTCCTGCTCCAAGGATGGGCCGTCCCCCAGTTCTGCCCTGAAACTTCGTCTGCTCTGGTTTCCACCCTGCAGCTCCCCCGGTCACGCGCGTGCAGGTGAACGGTTCCCAGTCTGTCTGTGTCACCCGGCTCCTGCTCTTGAGTCTCACGTGTTTCCAACAGTGCGACCGACATCCTCACCTTCGTGTACTTTCAGTGCCTTAAAGCCCACCTGTCCAGAAGTCAGCCTATTATTGATGACTGTGCTAGTTCCAGCCTAAGTACTCTCTCTCACCTGGCTGACTCTTAACCGTTGTTCAGTAAACAGTGGTTGAACTGAATACCTAGAAAAGCGAATGGCTCCCCCTTTCCCCCACCTCCTCTCACCAGTCTCCCCATCTCGTCTCTCTCTGCACTCAGTGCTTTCCTTGAGTCCAGTTTGTAAACACACCTTGAATGCCTCCTGCTGCCAGACAGGTTTTCTAAAGCACTGTTCTGGCCATTTTCTTCCCTCAGCTCAAACCCCGCAGGGCTTCCATCCGCCTATTAATTTGGGTAGAAATTCCTCCGCGGGAACCCCAACCTCTGTAAGAAGGGCTTCGGCTGCTTCCGACCATTCCTTTCCGCGTTCATTCCTGATATTGAGGCCAAGCCCCCGACCTGTCACTCCTCTTACACACTGTCCTGTGCTGCACAGTAGTAGCCATTAGCCCCACTGCGATTTAAATGTAAATGAATTAAAATGAAAGGTTACAGATCAGTTGCTTAGTCACACTAGCACATTTCGAGTTCCGTAACCACACGTGGGTGGTGGCTGCCTCGTGGGCAGCACAGATGTCATTCCTGTCATCCCTGAAAGCCCTTTGGACAGCTCTGGTCTGTACCTTAGTGTTTCCATCCCCCGACCCGGCTGAACCGCCCCCCCACCGTTGATCCCCTCTGGCCATCTCTACTCGCACAACTCCCTCCGTCTCCCAGGGCCGCCACCTCCTGTTCCTCCTCTTCCCCTTTCTTAGTGAGCTGCCGCGCCCTGTGCAGCCTCGGGGGGGTTTGACCTGTGTTCCTTTATGAGACCTACCCACTCTCCCCGTACATCATGACCGCTCTTGTCCTTATTTCATTCCCGATACTGAACTGGAGGACTTTCTGAGGTAAAGACTACATTCATGACCTTACTTTGGGCACAGTGTAGTGGGAGTTCAGTAGACAATTGTTGAATTGAATACCTAGAAAAGAGAATGGCTCTTCTTTTATTTCTGAAATCTGCAAGCGCAGTGAGTGCCTCGCCGCCCCACTTTCTTCCTTTTCTTTGTACTCACACAGGCCTCTTCAGTGAGACCAGGCACGAAGCACAGCCCCCGTCCTGTGCCTGCCTGTGCAGGTGGCCATGGGCGGCACATTCCATCCTAGAGCCCCTAGTGCTGACATCAGGGCCAAGGAGAGCAGCTGGCTGCAGGATACGAGCTGTCCTCTGGCTAGGGCTGTGGGTCAGCATGTAGGAGTGGAATGTCGGGAGGGAAGAATAGACGGATAACTGAGGGGCAGGCAGAGTGCAAACTTCAAACCTCAGAGAAGTGACCCCAGGAGAAATGACTGGGAACACGGAGGCTAACCAAGTCAGGGAAGTGGCGAGGCTCAGATTTAAATTGCTTGCAAGATGGGGAGCCAGAGTTGGACCCTGGAAAAACTTTCTGGGTTTGTCACTGCCTTGCTGTATGTGTTCACTGTGGCTTTTCATTTAGCCCAAAGTCACCTGCCATGAAGGGGATGATCATACCCAAAGCATTTGACAGCCCAGTTTAGACCCTTTCAGGCCATTCAGACTCCAGAGGGATTTCTCTGATTTAGCCGCTCTTGGAGCTAAAGGAGTGGCTGGTTATCCATTCATTGACTTGGGCAGGATGTCTTAAAGCCGAGAATGAGTGTGTGTACATGTGTGCGCATGTGTGTTCTGCAGTGAGGTGGAAGCCCAGGCTATTAGAATAAGTTTACAAGCTCTTTGTCTTTCCAGGCTGGTGTTGCACAGGGAGAAGCACTTCCACTACCTGAAAAGAGGCCTTCGACAGCTGACAGATGCCTACGAGGTAAATACACTGTCCAGGAGCTCTTCCTATCAAATTATCAGCCAGATCTTTCTCCCTTCTTCCTGTTGAACATAAAAGACTCACGAGCCTGACCTGTTGCAGGTTCACTCGTTGTACATGTAGCCTTGGCAGGGACCAGGGGCACAGGAGCCCAGGCCGTGCAGAGCAGGGGCTCCCACTTCTGAAAGGGCAGAGCTGGGTCTCTTCCTGACTTGTCCTCCCTCGGAGCTCGTGGGGCACCCAAATGGCTTTCTTCCTCCTAAGTCACGGCCAGAGGGGTCAGGTGCTATCTTCTAGATAACTCATGACAGCTAGCTGAAAGGCAGTTGTTGCCTATTCATCCCTAATTCTTTGTTCTATAAGCCAGTATAATTCCTAGGCTGGCCAAAGGATCAGTATATAAATCCCAGAGAATACCATGCAGTTTAACACTGTAAACATCATATCCCTCAGATCCCTGGGGTTCTACGGAGGGGCCTCAAGGGGCAGGCAGTGGTGGTGGAGGAGGCGGAGGGTGTTGAGAGTGGGTCTGAGTGGTGGGCAGAGGGTGAGTGTGAACAGGAGGGCCCAGTCTTCCTGTCCCATTTTGCACAGAGCAGCCCTGCTTTCAGTTTGCTTTTTATTTTGGGTTTGTACATGTGATTATTTACTACAGGGACCGACCAACTCAAATGCCTATAGACCCAAGCTGGTAGCATAGGTAGGAGAAGTGGGCTCAGGGAGACTGAAGCAAATCAGAAGCCCCACACTTTTACTCTGTTCCTGCCCGTTGCTGCCATCCAGGAATGCAGACCAGGGTTGCCAGATCTCTCTCTCTCTCCCTCTTTCTCTTTCCCAAACAAAGCCAGAAATTCAGATTTTTATGTGAATCTCCAAGTGCTAAAACGTTACAACTAATTCCATACAGACAAACAAACAAACATGCAAACAAAACCCCACTGGAGCAAGCAGAACACATCTACAGGCTAGATTTGGCCTTGGGTTCCAAGCTTTCAGTCCTTGACTCGAGTTCTCCATGGTCAGGGTCCAGTCGGCCCTGATACAATCAGTACCATACCAGCTAACAACGCACTGAAGTGTGCTAAAAGCTTCCCGAGCATTATCTCAACTAACTACTTGTTATCCTTACAACTGACTACTCCATGAGGTAGGTGAGTCTTTATTTTTTTAGAGATAAGGAATCAGGCATGACAAGGTGAAGTAATTTGTTCCAAGGCAAATAGCTGGTAAGAGGAGGAGCTGGGATTCACACCCAGGCAGACCAAGTCCGTAGCACTGTCCTCGGTCGCCACACCAGGTGGAAACCAGTCATAGCTCATTGATGCAGAGGGCAGCGTGGGCCAGTGGGAGGAGCACTGGCTTGGGAGCCCAGAAACCTGGGCTCTTGTCTCGTCTCTGACATTTACTGTCGTCATAATCTAGAAAAAGTTTGTCTCTCTGTACGTCACTTATATACTTTAAATCTATAAATTGGGGGCAGCAATACTACATGTCTGCCTGGCCTTGAATGCTCCATACACTTTATGGCTTGAATTAGGATAAAGTTCTGGTCACAAGTCACATTTGGATGCCTTTTCCAGATTCTCCAGGAGAGTCAGCTAGTCTCTTACCTGTGCTTCCTCAGGGCTGTCTCTGCCCACTTATGCAGGTTCACGCACACATACGCTACATTCCACCTGTTCCAGAAAGAAAGAAGGTAATTTGTACTGATGTGTCTGTCCAGGGCCCTCTTCCTCTACAGGTAACCACACACATTCTGTATTCCAGGCATCACAGAATTTTATGCATTATTGTGCCTCCAGCATCTGATACAGTGCTTGGCACGAAGTAGATAGTTACTAAATATTTGTTTCATCAGTGAATGAGTGAACCCAGGGAATTCTAGTCTGGGATTATATCTCTCCTTGGGTCTACACTGAGAACACAGCAGCATTTAACTTCCTTGCACGTGACACGTACTCTGCTCAGCCTTCTGTAGGTGCCTGTCAGAGAAGGACCCAATGGGTTCAAGGTAAACTTCTATGTCCCATTGTCCTTTCCTCACATATGGTTACGTCAGCTCCTGGCCAAGGCCAGAGAACCATGTCCTTCATTCACCGATTGTTTGTCAGGTGCCCTCCCCCCACCCTTGCCAGGCTGCCAGAGACAGATGCCTCCTTGTCGGCAGTATCTCGGAAAGATTCTGAATAAAGGGTGTGTTTTCTCCCCTGTACCTTTTGCAGTGTCTGGACGCCAGCCGCCCGTGGCTCTGCTATTGGATCCTGCACAGCTTGGAACTGCTGGACGAACCCATCCCCCAGATGGTGGCGGCAGAGTGAGTCTGGCTGCGGGGCCATCTAGGCTGCTCTCTGGGATTGTACTTAGGGTGCTTTTTGTTTTGTTTTGGTTCTATTTATTTTTAATGAAAATCACAGAGTGCTTCAAAGAAACCCATGCTTTTTTCGCCCTCCAGTAACTTCCTGAAACTCCTCCACTTTAGAAGCCCATTGTAAGCTCGTGGGTAGAAAGAGTCTTTGAACTCCCGAGGGAAGGATTCTGATTTCTTTATGGCCTTTTCTTTTGGCTCTTGTTCTGGTCTTTGAGAAAAGTCTTTATCATCAACTTTGGGAGGCATAATTTTGCCAGAAAGTAGAGTATGCATTTGAATAGCTTCTGTGGGGAAGCGTGTGCCAACCCAGTGAACAAAAATGCCTTTGCCTTCCATAAACACCTCCACAGAGGTCCCTCCCCACCAGTGCCTGGGGGACAGCATGGCTCTTGTTGGCACTGGATGGGTTGTTGTGTTGGTGTGCAGATGCCATGACTCACAATTTTCTTACGGTTAGAGATCTAAGCAACTAAGAGCCTTCCCAAACTGCTGGCTCGGATGGTGTTCTCAGTGTGGTACCTCATCCTTGGAAGCTTGTGAAATATATTTTAAAGAAGAAGGGACTGGTCATCCTTGTAGTCTTAGGGATACCTGGGGGAGGAGAGGGCAGCCAGGAATTGGAGCCAATGTCCTAGTTCTCAGTGGCAGAGAACACGTCCCATCGCCAGCAACTTGAGTTCATCCACTCCCCTGGGGCTTCTGCGGGAGAGGAGACCCCGAGCCAGGTTCATTTTCCCACAGCACACAGGGGCGGCTGTACCAGGACGGGTGGAAGCTAGCCTGTGCCCCTCCCTGGTCACAGTGCCCTGCCTGGGTCACACTGTCAGGTCAGAAGAACAGAAGTGCACATTGTCTCATTCATTCTGTCTTAACAATAACCTCTCATTCTTGCTTTCCTGGGCAGGGTGTCTTGTGATGAATGTGGATAGGGAAGATAATAAAGAATTAGACCATTAACCCTATGATAGATGCGATACTTTCTGAGGGAGAGGAGAAATATGCATTGTCTTCCCCACCAGATGCTGCTCCAAGCCCCGTTGCTTCTAGTTCAAAGTGGAGTTGGATACAGTTCCTGCAGCACCAGGAATTTAATTGTCAAAATAGAGCCTCATGTGTTTTTGAAATACCAGTTAGGGATTGTGGCCTGTTTGGGAAGTTTCTGCCCCACACATACACAATCAGGATGTTCCGCAGGGGAATGGGAAAGTCCTATAGGAGAGAAGAAAAAGGAAATGTGGGGATCGTGAGAGTAGAGCACCGGCGCCCCCTAGAGGAAGACACAGGCCAATCTGGAGAAGGAAGACAGTGCTAGGGGTTCCTTGGGTCAGCATGGACTGGGAGGTTTTTCTGGCTTGTCTGCAGGTGAGGCTTTTCTGAGGAAATACGTGTCAGCGAAGCTTTTGTGGCATCTGATAGGAAGAGAGGACTCCTTTCAAGCGTTTCACACTTAACAATTGGAGTCAACCTAAATAGTCCCAGTAAGGGATGCTTTAAAGCTTCAAGTAAATTATGATGCAGTGCATACAATGAAATACTTATGCAGCGATTTAAAAACTGAGAAGTTAACAGATGCTAACTAGGCTTATTGTGGTGATCATTTTGCAATATATACAAATATCAAAGTACTATGTTGTACACCTGAAACTAATGTTATATGTTATTTAGATTTCAATAAAAAGTATATGTAAATGTATATATTTGTATATAAAAATTGCTATATTTATAGAGGTGTTCATGATTTAAGTCCAAAAGGTAGTTTAAAAGATTTCACTTTTCTAGATTAAAAATATAGATGGTTATATGCATAGAAAAGCCAGAAGGATGTATGAACACATGGTAGGTATGATTTCTGGATAGGGGGGTTAAAGGTGATTTTTTTCTCTTGTTTCCTAAACATATTTGCATTTTCTGCAATGAACCGTCATTTATAATTAAAGAGAGTCTTAAAACTGCAAAGCTGATTTCAAGAACAAGTTGATGGTGAATGACTGAGGATTTCATGGCAGCCTTGAAAGCTTTACTTGTGATTCTGTGGAGCATCAATTTAACGAACTCTTAAAGAATTACTTAAATTTTCCTAGCAGGCAGTTAATTCTACATGCTGATAATATTTATTATGTACTGAGCCTTGTGGCTTTGACCTATAAAGAAAGATTTTTAGTAAGATACAGAAAAATCTTAATGACTTCTGTAAAAATATGGGGATTTGTTTTTTAGACTGCCTGATGTAGGATATTGCCTTTTTATTTATTTTGCACAGGGAAAAGAATTGCTTTGAAAGTGTGCACTGGCTTTTTTCTTCCCCATACAAACATTAAGGTGACCTAGAGGCTGCATTTAGCTCTGGATTTTTATCATTTCCTGTCCTCTCTTCTCCCCACTCCCTCACCTAGTATGTGACCCACACATACACACACTTTGCTCTTTCCTATTTTGTTCATCGTTGTGCTTCTATTTGTTCAGGGGGAAAAATGCCACGCTGAGTTCCCTCTAGTGGACAGAATCACTTCTGTCAGCTACTGGGACTGCTGACTGGAGCCAGTTAGGCCAGTTTTTACTGCGGCTGTCAGACCTTTCCAGAATAGTGTATTCATAGGTAGGGACTTGGCTTGCTTCTCCTAGGGCATTCATTGTATCTGCAAATGCATACATGTTTACCCATAATAAATTTGGGAATCAGGCTAAGTATATTTGCTTTTGCTCACAATTTTAGCACTGAAGGAAGCATTCTTTAATGAGAATCCCATGTTTTGTTATTGAAAATCACTTTAATGAAATGCACGGAAAAAAAAGAAAACCGCAGGGAGACCACTGCACCCTTGAGTTAGGTTTTTAGCTTCTGTATGATTTAATTGTCTTTAACTTAAAAATCGTTGTAGGACTTTTCCACTTGCAAAGTTTTCCCAAAGATTAAAATTAAATTTTCATGTGTCAGTGTTTTATTATTTCCCTTTTCAAAGATTATTAACAGTTTCTCCCCTGAATAACTCCTTAAATATTTATATTTTTTCCTTTTAATTTTTAAATTTAACTATGATTTGTTTCTTTACCTTTAGTGAGGATACCTTATCTGTGTTGTGGGATTATTTTTTTTTCTGCCAGCAGCACCTGGCATCTAGTGGGTAGAGGCAAGGGATACAGCTAAACATCCTCCACAGAACAGTCCCCACAACCAAGAATGATCCGGCCCAAAATCTCAACAGTGCCAAGGTGGAGCAACCCTGCTGTAAAATGACCAACTTTAGACTTGACTGCACATCCCAAACAGCAGCATCCAGGGGGTTGACGAAGAGTCAGAGAACCTGTCACACACCATGGGCAGCGCTGCTTCCTGGAACGGCGAGAGCCTGCCTGCCTTTCACCTGTTCATTGCTCTGGGTCTTCCTGGGCCAGGACTTTTCCTCTCCCTTGTAGTATAAGCAGAAGCTGTTTAAGTATGAGATCCAAAAGGCTTAGTGCTAGAAGAAGCTCGATGCCAACTCATTCCTCTTGCATTTGCATCTACTCTTGAGCCGTTCTGCTCAAGAATAACTGTTCCTATTTCCAAAGCTATAATCTTTGTAACTTATTCTAGACCTTAAGTCTGTCTGTGGTAACTTATTCTGGTGCTGACGTTTTTCTTACATCTAACCTAAAATCTTGCTGCAGATTAGGTTCGGTTTTTATTTATTTACCAGAAAGTTTGTATAGTTACCCTTTGTATTTTTGAGGTATGTTGCTGGGTAGCTCTCTACTGTGGTTGCCTGTAATATTAAGCCTTTTAATGTTTTTTATATTTAGCCATTTTTACAACTCTCATCCAAACTTCCTTTGAGTTGGAAAATGGAGGCTTGAGCCAGTTCTGACCAGTACTGTGTTTGTAATGCTTTTCACAGGCACTCTTGTTGCTGTTCACAGCTCGTGGACTCTGGCCCCGGGCCCTTTTCTGCAGTATTCCTAGTCCTTTCCCGTGATACGTTTATACACTTCACTCATCCCCGCTCCTGCCACCCCTGAGCACGTACATTGCTACTGGTACCTATTTCATTTGTTTTATTCTAATTGCTTTCTGATTTGTTTTATAATATTCTACTTTAATTCTCACCGTGGAGGTGTTTCTCTGATCATTTGTATTATTTTGTTATTCTCTGTACGTGCTTGTGAGTTCTTCATCCAACTAGTGACAGCGATGTCCAGAATCAACCACACTCGGTCAGACCTCAGCTGTCACCTAAAAGACTGAGTAAACTCCTTATGAGGCTGCCAGTAAGTCTTTGACACCCTTGCTTTGAACTTGACCCTCTTGTAAGTTTTATGCACTCTTTAATAGTTGAATGTTAGAACAGTGGTTTCCAGTACAACCTTCTGTGATACCGGAAATATTCTCTATTCTGTGGTAGCCACTAGTGACAGGTAACTTTTGAGCAGTTGCAGTGGGGCTTGTGTGGCCCAAGGAGCTAAATTTTAAATTTTATTTGAATTAAAAATTTAAATAGCCTTGTGTGGTTACTGTCTACCTATTGGACAGTGCTGATCCATCCCATTGCTACCCAAAATGTGACCCACAGGCCGGCAGCATTGCCGTCACCTGGAAGCTTGCTGGAAATGCCGCCCTCGGGCCCATCCAGCACCACTGAATTCGGTCTGCACTCCAACAGGATCTCCAGGTGATTTCTATACAGGCTCAAGTTGAGGAGCATTAATACTTGGCTGTACATTAAAGTCAAATGGGGAGTTTTAAAAATATTGCTGCCTGGGTCCCAATTACACTGATTCTGATTTAATTGGTGTAAGGTGTGGCCTGGGCTGTGGGCATCCCCCAGGTGATTCTAATTGCTCAGCAAAACTGTGTAGTGCTCACTTTGTGTGTATCCAAATCACCTGGGAATTTGATAAAACTATGGAGGCCCAGGCTCTTTCCTGCTTCAGCAAGCCTTGAGTCTGTGTATTCTTTACCAGCTCTTCAGTGATTCTGATACATACTTTTTGGGTTTAAAAATCTCTGATCTACTTCTGGCCAAGATGGAGGCATAGGTAGACACACTGTGCCTCCTTGCACAACCAAAAGAAGGACAACAGACATTTAAAAACAAAAAACAACCAGAACTGACAGAAAATTTAACTCTGTGGAAGTCCGACAACCAAGGAGTTAAAGAAGAAACATTCATCCAGACTGGTAGGAGGGGCAGAGTCAAGCAGCCAGGAGGAGAGGACTCAGTGCGCAGTGGCAGCTGGTGGAGCAGGCAAGGCAGCTGATTGCGGACTGTGGGGTCTCACAATCACGCGCAGATAAACCAGGAGGAACAACAGGGGAACGAGACAGATCATGTGACCCTGGGCTCCAGTGTGGGGAAATAAAGCCTCAAACCTCTGATTGAAAACACTGGTGGGTGTTGAGGCGGTAGTAGGAGAAACTTCCAGATTCACAGGAGAGTTTGTTGGAGAGGCCCACAGGATCCTATAATGCACACAAAACCACCCACCTGGGAATCAGCACCAGGAAGGCCCAATTTGATTGTGGGAAGCAGGGGAAGTGACTGAAAACGGGCAGAGAGCAGAGCAAGCACCATTGTTCCCTCTCCGACCTCTCTTCCACATACAGCATCCAAACGCAGCGTCGTGGGTTGCCCTGTCCTGGTGAACACCTAAGGCTCTCCTCCTCGTACCTAACAGGCATGAACAGAGCAAAACATTGTGGCTCAAGAAGAACAGCTCAAAGCCCCAGAGCCAATAACTCTAAGCGATGAAGAAATAGCCAAACTCAAATGCACAGTTCAAAACACTGGTGATCAGGATGCTCACAGAACTGGTTGATGTTAGTCACAAGTTAGAGGAACATATGAAGGCTAAACTAATTGAAATGAAGGGAAATGCACAGGAAACCAACAGTAATGGAAAGGAAACTGGGATTCAAATTAAGGGAGCGAACCAGAAGGAAGAAAAAAATGACCAAACAGAAAACGATGAAGAAACAAGAATTCAAAAAAATGAGGAAAGGCTTAGGAACCTCTAGGACATCTTTAAACGTTCCAACATTCGAGTTATAGGGATACCAGAAGGGGAAGAGGAACATCCACGAGTGGAAAATTTATTTTTACAAATTATTAAGGAGAACTTCCCCCATCTGGCAAAGGAAGTAGACTTCCAGGAAATCCAGAAAGCTCAGAGAGTCCCAACGAAGTTGGACCCAAGAAGGGACACACCAAGGCACATCATAATTACATTAGCCAAGATTAAAAGGAAGGAGAGAATCCTAAAAGCAGCAAGAGATAAGGATACAGTCACCTACAAAGGAGTTCCCATCAGACTGTCAGCAGATTTCTCAAAAGAGACCTTACAGGCAAGAAGGGGCTGGAAAGAGGTATTCCAAGTCATGAAATCCAAAGACCTACAACCAAGATTGCTCTATCCAGCAAAGCTTTCATTTAGAATGGAAGGGCAGATAAAGTGCTTCTCAGATAAGGTCAAATTCAAGGAGTTTATCATCACCAAGCCCTTATTATATGAAATGTTAAAGGGACTTATCTAAGAAAAACAAGATAAAAAAGATGAACAGTGAAAGGACAGCAAACTCACAGTTATTAACAACCACACCTAAAACAAAAGCAAACTAAGAGGACAGCTAGATCAGGAGCAGAACCATAGAAATGAAGACCACATGGAGGGTTAGCAACAAGGGAGTGGGAGAAGGAGAAGCGGGGAGAAGGTACAGAAAATAAGTAGCATAGACGGTAGGTAGAAAATAGATAGGGGGAGGACAAGAATAGTAGGGGAAATACAGAATCTAAAGAACTTGAGACACGTGGTCATAAACTAAAGGGAGGAAATGGTGGGGGAGGTGGTATGCAGGGTGGAGGGGAATGAAGGGGGGAAATAGAACAACTGTAATGGCATAATCAATAAAATAAAAAATAAACAGGAAAAAAATAATGAAGGAGAACTTTCCCAATCTGGCAAAGGAAATAGACTTCTAGGAAGTCCAGGAAGCTCAGAGAGTCCCAGAGAAGTTGGACCCAAGGAGGAATGCAGCAAGGTCCATCATAATTAAATTACCCAAGATTAAAGATAAGGAGAGAATCTTAAAAGCAGCAAAAGAAGAGACAGTTATTTGTAAAGGATTTCCCATAAGACTGTCAGCTGATTTCTCAAAAGAAACCTTGCAGGCAAGAAGGGGCTAGAAAGAAGTATTCTAAGTCATGAAAGGCAAGGACTTATATCCAAGATTGCTCTATCCAGCAAAACTATCATTTTGAATAGAAGGGTAGATAAAGCACTTCCCAGACAAGGTCAAGTTAAAGGAGTTCATCATCACCAAGCCCTTATATCAAATGTTAAAGGGATTTATCTAAGAAAAAGAAGATAAAAAATATGGGCAGTAAAATGACAACAAACTCACAGTTATTAACAACCACACCTAAAACAAAAACAAAAGCAAACTAAGCAAACAACTAGAACAGGCACAGAATCACAGAAATGGCGATCACATGGAGGGTTATCAGTGGGGAAGTAAGAGAGGGAGAGAGGGAGAAAAGCTACAGAGAATAAGTAGCATAAATGGTTGGTAGAAAATAGAAAGGGGGATGTTAAGAATAGTATAGGAAATGTAGAAGCCAAAGAACTTATATATATGACCTATGGACATGAGCTAAAGTGGGGGAATGTAGGTGGGAGGGGGTGCCCAGGTCAGAGGGGAATAAAGGGGGGGGGGGAAATGGGACAACTATAATAGCATAATCAATAAAACATATTGAAAAAAATCTCTGATCTAGAAGATAGTTTCCCACAATCTTGGTCATGTAATCTAGAATGAAGGCCCTTCCTGATCTGAAAGAAAATTGATCAGCTAGATCTTTTAGTCATATGACTGTGTGAATGACTTATGAATACTTGTTTTTTACAAAGTGTCAGTTGGTGAATTTCTGGTCTCTAAGTTTTTCTCCTTTTTGAGAGATAGAAGTACCCATCACATTTTGGTTTTCAGAACAGCTGAGAATTCTGCTGATGACAGCTGGTAGCTTCAAGGTCAGTTTTCCAGTTCATTAACGTGCTCGCCTCTGGATCAGAATGTCCCATAATGCGAAGTGTCTGGAAGTCAAGAAAAGCCCAACCCCTCATGCCCCAGCATAGCCCCACGGACAGTCAGATGCTGCCGGTCAGCTGACAGTGGTTGGCGTGGAGGCAGGGTTTAGAGGTGTCTGGAACATTCTGATCCCAGCTCATTCCACCCTTCAGGCTACTGGGTCAGGAGGGTTGCATTTGGCATCATTCTATCTTGGAGCTGGGAAAGCGAATGGATAACTAGGTGACTCTTTGCTTTTTTTTTTTTCTCTTTAATGTGCTAAGTTTTATATCAGCTAAAACCTTTTGTGACAAAGAACACTTTTTACGTGCCAGTGCAGCCAGGCTTTGTCAGGACATGTGTTTATTAGCTATTTGTTTCTGGGAAATGCAATAAAAATTAAGGACGATTTGGAAAATATGTTAGCAACCAACTCATCTTCTCTATTAAAAGTAATTGCTATTAAAAACATGCCACGAAACTGTCTTTCTTTCCGATTATCAACTTCAGTTTCCATCCTTGTGTTTCTTACAGCAAAAGTTTAGGTGTAAACAGAATGCAATGTGCATTGTTTTTGACCTATGATGGTTTCAGCACTCCAGCAGCAAGTCAACTGCCTTTTCCATTGCTCCCCGCTCTGCCCAGATAAGGGAAGGTCTGAAATCAAACACATTGTGGAAAAGCAGCAATAAACTGAAGTCTTAGTGGAGACTAACTAGGCTCTACGTGGTCTCTCCAGCAGCTAAGAAAGAATAAGAAAAGATAAGAAGGAAAGATAGATGAGAAAGAATGGGAAGAGCCCAGAAGAAGGCTGCCTGAGCACTAGAAGGTCACAGATTTGCAGTTCATCCTCTTAAATGGAAGCCTGTCCTCACAGGAAGCCTGTGGTCCCTGCTGGGTTGTGGGGAAAGAACTTGATAACCAGAGCTTTCCTGGCGTACCCCTTTCTGATGAACTTCAGAGGGCCTTGGTCACATAATTCTTGGTTTAATCTGGAGCAAGAATGTGACTTCCGGGCAAACTGATGCCAGGCTTGTTGGCATGGGCTTGAAGGCCCGCCCTCACTGTACAGTCTCCGCTGTACAGTGAGGGAGCTCGGGCCTCTGTGGATTATGTGAAAAACTTCTTGAACTGACAGATGGGGATGCACTCAGTGACATGAGTCAGCAGTACTTACGGTTTCCCAGTGGAGATGAGCATGGTTCTCCTAACCATGGAGGCAGGCTCCATAAAAGCTTGTTTCTTGTTGGTTAAAGGAATAAAAACCACTAGCCCACTGGAGCATAGGTGGCGATGGGAGTGAGAAGGCATCTCTTTAGATATTCTTGGTAGGCCTTATGATGGATCAAGACCTGGGTGGTTAGTGTGGAAAGAAGCATGAGAATATGGGAAAGATTCAGTCAAGAAGCATGACAGTTCCCCCAGCCCTGGGAAAGGCCGTTTGTTTCTGCCCGGCCTTACATTCTTGCTTTGTGGCTAGGCACATGCTTAAATGTAAAACTCAGATGGAAAGCATACAACGCTGATGAGAGCAGGGTAGAGAGCTAGGCCCTTTGTGCAGGTTCAGTACTTTTAATATATGTTCACTAGGCAGGAGGAGAGCTTTTTTCTTGTTCCTTTTGAGGGACCAGGGAACATTTGGAAAGGCCTGGACTCTGGTGGAATTTCATGTTTGGAAATCAATGTCTGACTGTGCTTTTCCCTTTGGCTGTGTACCTAGTGTGTGTCAGTTCCTGGAGCTGTGTCAAAGCCCAGACGGCGGCTTTGGAGGGGGCCCTGGCCAGTACCCACACCTTGCACCCACATACGCGGCAGTCAATGCCCTGTGCATCATTGGCACTGAGGAGGCCTATGACGTCATTAACAGGTACAGCCAAAGCCAGCAGTGACGGAAATGCAGAGGGGCGCCCCCCACCCCCATCGCTGCTGGCACTGCACTGACCTCACCATCTCTGGCCTCTCTCCCATTTGTTTCGCAGGGAGAAGCTTCTTCAGTATTTGTACTCTCTGAAGCAGCCCGACGGCTCTTTCCTCATGCACGTTGGAGGTGAGGTGGATGTGAGGTGAGTGGGGTTTTTCTCGGGCTGCTGCATCAGTGGGTTCCAGGGCTTGCCATTAGAGACACCAGACCCAAGGAAGAGCATGGTGAAGCTGCTGCTCTGTCACAGAATGACAGGCAGAATGACTTGCTGGTGACACAGTATCACAGTCATTGCAGAGATGATACAGACATCCTCAGTGTGATGATCACTCAATGTCTTTTATGTAAATATCAAAATATAAGTAAGGCAGAAAGAAAATCAACTGCTCTTGTTTTAAAAGTTAAAGATACATTCATCATGCATAAAATGATATACCATGATATATAATAACCATATAGTGTCATATAATCTTTCACCTCTGTGGGACAGGAAAGGAGAGGAAAGGCCAGTAGGGACTTAGTGAATGTTTTCTGAATGGATTTGATGAAATTGTGACAACGTTTAACTCCCGCACAAGCACTGCTTCGGCAGGCACAGAACCCTTCTGGGCCAGTGGGGCACAGTGAAGTAGGCTTGCATTGACCGATTAGAAGGAATTGCTGCAAAATTATTACTTAACTCAAGAATCGTCTAATGCACCTAGTAAGCAGCTTATTCCCCTGGCAGACAATTGCTTATGAAGCATATAGAGAATTCACTGAACAAGTCATTTCTCAATGGTAGCGATCATTGAGATTTTATACCGAAGTCTTATTGCCTAGTCTGAATAATACATTTTTATGAGATTTCTCTATCAAAGCCATCTCACTGCCTTTTTGTAAATGTGTTTGCTTCTACACGAGCAGATTAACATTCTGGGTGAGCCATTGGTTTGAAAATGTAGGGGAAGAAAAGACACGGTGGTCACGGAGCATGAAATACATTGCGGATAAAAGTAGGTGACCGGACTGCGGAACCCTCTAGTGAACGACTTCCTTCTATCTGCAACTTGCCGGCTCATATCAAAAAATTAGCTTAGGTGTCTACTAGAAAAACTGTTTCTCTACTCACGATACTTAGGATACCACAACTGTGAGTGAGGATACACACCACAGGATAAGGGCTCAGTCCCACTACAGTGCCCCTACTTCAAATGCCAGTCACAAGTAGCATGTCATGTCCCTTGGTTATCCATACTCCTGTCCTGCTGCCTGCCTGACGTGGCTACAAATTGGGGTTCCTGTGATGTTCTCCTCAGGTTCAGTGATCTGCTAGAACAGCTCACAGAACTCAGGGAAACACTTTACTATTACTGGTTCATTCTGAAGTATATTATAAAGGATACAAATCAGCAGCCTGATGAAGAGGTAGATAGGGAGATGTCTGGAAATTTTCGGAGCGCAGGAACTTCTGTCCCCATGAAGTTGGGGGTGTGCCACCCCCCAGCAGGCACTGGGTGCATTCACCAACCCAGAAGCTCCCTGAATCTCTTCATCTAGGGTTGTTATGGGGGTTCCGTTATATAGGCATGATTGATTAAATCATTGGCCATTGGCGATTAACCCAATCTCCAGCCCTTTTCCTCTGGAGGGTGGGGCTGAACGTTCTGACCTTCCAATCACATAGTTCCTTCATCTGCTCACTGGTCCCCATCCTCCAGGACTCACCCCAGATACAGCGGACTGGGGCTTGTTATAAAAACGAAGGACTGTCCCATCACACCTGTAACTCAGACTGTCCCAAGGGTTTTAGGACCACTGTGCCAGGAACTGTGCAGAAGACCACATTTATATTTATTATGTCACAATGTCTCAGTATCTCTTGTTAAAAGATAAACTGAGGCACATTAAAAGTTTAAAGTTTATTTCAGCAAAAATCTATTTGACTTGGGCGGCAACCAGTCTAGCAGATAGAAAGAAACTCCAAGGAGCTGCATAAAATGAAATACTTTCATAGGCGGGAGGGAGCAGGGACCAGGAATGGGCACTAGGCAAAGGCAGGCTGGTAATGGCCAGGTCACCTTGGGGGATGGTGGGGACTTAGCAGGCAGATGACCTAACCAGTGCCGATCAGGCGGTTCCTGATGGACTGGTGCGAGATTCCACTTCTGGGAAAGCTTAGACTATAAATCAGTATTGGTTTAGCATAAGTGATTCCATTTTGAGCCTCTTACCTTGTTTTTTAAACATTGTATAGTTCACCAAAGCCAATACAACTACTGAGGAAAAGTAATGCAGTATTGTGTTGATGCCTCTTAAGGAAGAATTTACAAGATTTTTTTCCCTTCAAGGTCACTACATGTTCATTCCTGTTCTATAGATATTCCAATCCAATATGCACAGTCTTGAAATTTAGCTTCTTAAAGCTTTCTCAGATTACTAGACAAAAGCAAACAAACCATGGCATGATCACTTTGCCATTTTATCACATACCTAGATGACAGAGCATAGAGTGTGTTCAAGAAAGAGTTCCGTGTTGCTGAAGTGTAGAGGGCCTGGGGGCCGTGGGAGGATGGGGGCTGGAAGCACCTGCGGGGAACAGGTGAGGGGCCCTGAAATCTTAAGAAGTCCAGAATTTAAAGACAGTAGGGAGCCACAGACAGTTTTAAGTAGGGAGTGATGTAACCCGACTATATGCGATGTGATCTGTGTATTATTAGTTCCCCAGTTGCAATGAGTAGATAGTAAGTAGTATTTTAGTAAAAGTCTTCTGGTTTCAGGGCTGAAGGGAGGAAGACCGGACAGGAGACTGATCCAGGTAACAGTGACTTGGATTTGGGCAATAGCAGCGTGGATGGAGAGCAATGGACAGATTTGAGAGGTGTGATGACTTGATGGAGGGAGAGAGGAAGAACCTGCACCAGAAAGATGCATTTTGGTTCCCTCCCCGTCTCAGTGTGAGATCTAGGACTAGTCAGTGGCTTCTGGCATCACGCCTCAGTTCTTCCATCTATGAGAGGCGAACTGTGTTTTCAGCCTCCTCCCTACCTCAGAGGTTAGTTACATTAGGATTCAAGAGCAAATACTTTTGAACCCTGTTGAGAGACTTAAGACTTGAAGGAAATTAGATCAGACCTTCGAAGTTAGCTTTTGGTAGATGGCAACATTTGGCACCCAGGACTCTTGCATCCGATGCCTGCTGGCATAGCTCAGCCTCTGCGGTGCCTTTGGCCAGCGCGAACAGGCTGTAAAAATGCTGGTAGGATAATACCGTTCACAGCTTCTGCAGTGATTTCTTCGGAAAGCCTCAGTAAGTCTGACTTAAGTTTGACTAATACAGAAACTAGACCCTTCTCACTCCCCCCTTTAGGAGGTCTTAGAAAAAGGATTTGTAAGCAGAATTTTTATCTTCAAGATAAAATGGAGCTGAGATGCTGGCATTTGAAAAGACCGTAGCAGGGAAGAAAAGACAGTTAGTAGACATGTTCCACCATAGAGGGCGAAGCTGAAATAACTGTTTCGAGAAGAATTAGGGCTGGCAGAATCCTTCCAAATCAAGCAGGACAGCATGATGAGGATAAAAACATGTGCGCTTTCTTTTTCACTTAAAAACACGTGTGTATGTGTGTCTATACCGGGGGGGTGCTTGAAATCAAAGCCTCCCTCCGGAGGCTTAAGGAAGGCATCTGAGTGGGCTCATCTAGCCCCGTCTGGTCTAAGCAGCCATTATGGCCTGGTGGCCTGCTTTGCAATGTGTTTGTTGTAGAAAATATATATATAGTCAAGCTTTAATGTGTCCATGCCATAATCAGACAGAAATCCTGGGCCTGAAACAGTACTGATATCTGAGTGAGTAATCATGTCAGAAATACCTGAATGACACCATGGAATTTTGGGAACCCTTATAGGTCTTTGAAAGAGGAGCTGCAGTCACTTTTGACATGAATTGATACGGCTGTTATTTCCTCTGATGTAGATCTGACCATGTGGATGTAGGGAGAATAGAATGTCATGTTCTTTTCGCTGAAGCCATGCTGTGAGCAACTCTATCCAAATAGAATGTCAAACCTCTCGGTTGGAGACCCGGGAGGACTGACCCTGTGCCAAGAGTGAGGACAGGAGGTGACTACAGCTTACCAGGCAGAGAGAGCAATCTGCCCAAGAAGTTCACTGAGCCTTATTTAGGCTCTTCCTTAGAGCTTAACACTTTCCCCTCTATTTCTGTCCTTCCAGAAGTGCGTACTGTGCCACCTCGGTAGCTTCTCTGACCAACATCGTCACTCCAGACCTCTTCGAGGGCACTGCCGAATGGATAGCAAGGTGAGAGGAGCTGGGTTTGCCCTGGCTTCTTAGACAGCTGTGGCCAAAGTCTTCTGAAAAATAAAGAAAGTGAAAAAAAGACTGGAAGGGAAAATAAAATTACAAGAGATATATTAGGGTTGTAGCATTGTAAATTTCGAAATTACCTTAAAAGGTGCCCCCACCAAACTTTCTTTAATGTTGTATTACAGTTTAGATTGGCAAGGGTCAGAGACTTGGTTAGACAGTAATGGTGAGAGTCTCAGTGGATTTATCCATTTTTAAGAGCAACTTGGTAATATCTCAAAGTAGCCCTTGCTGATGACCCAATAGTTCCACCCCTGCAGAAACTCTCACGCGGATGCGTGAAAGAGACAGACAAAAAGCTGAAAACAGGTTAAATGTTCATAAGCACGACATGGACAAGTAAGTTTTGATATAGGCACATTGAAATTTAATATAGCCATTAAAATGAATGAATGCAAACTACATGTATCAATATGGACGAATCTCAAAGCTCTCATTTAGAATCAAAGGACAGATAAAGAGCTTCCCAGACAGGAAAAGGCTAAAGGAGTTTATTACCCCACCAGACCAGTAGTATATGAAATGTTAAAGTGTCTTCTTTAAGAAGAAGAGAAAAGAAGAAATATGAAAAAGAAAATGGCAATAAATACATATCTATCAACAATTGAATCTAAAAATCCAAATAAACGAGTAAGCAGAACAGAAACAGACTCATATGCAGAGAACATTTTGACAGCCGCCAGATGGGAGGGTGGTCGGGAGGATGGGTAAAAAAGGTGAAGGGGTTGAGAAGCACAGGTGGGTAGTTACAGAAAAGTCATGGGGATGGCAAGTACAGCACAGGGAGTACACTCACCAGCATTCTAATAACCAGGTGTGGTGTCAGGGGGCTGTGAGATTTGTCAGGATGATTGTTTAGTAAGTTATACAATATCTAATCACCGTGGTATACATCTGAAACTAATATATGTCAACTGTAATTGAAAAATTTAAAAAGTGATTTAAAAAACGAACGAATGAGAGCTACATGTATCAATCCAGACTAATCTCAACAATGCTGAGTAAAAAAAAGGGGTCGTTAAACATACCGGTCAGTGTATTTACTTAAAATGTAAAAATACGCAGAACAGTTCTATATGGTTTATGGAAAGAATCATACATAATAATATAAAAACATGCATGGGAAAGATAAATACCAAGTTCAGGGTGGTGGTTACATCTGGGCAGAGAGCAGAGGAAGTGAGACTGGGGAGGCCCACACATCTCCACTGAAGACTCCAACTGTATCTCTAATGGTTCATTTCTTCAAAATATTTTTTAAAAGCCCTGAAATGTACATGGCTAACTGAAAGGTAGGTGTTAGGTGCATGTATATTATTTCATATATTATATATGAAATTATATATATATATATATAAATATATATATATAATTTCTTATACTTTCCTGGATGCATCAAATAGTTTATCATTAAAAATAAAGAAAACAAAATGTATGGTAGATACTTATGTATATTATGAAAAGATACGCAAACTGCATTGTTTTATTTTTTACATTTTTATTTTTATCAAAGTATATTTATTACTATGAAAATGTAATTTATAGCTAAACCAGATAATATACTTTGAGAATATTTTTTTTTGTATAACTTTAATCTTCTTAGACTTAATCATTACCTCTTTTTAAAAACGCATGTATCATGAATTCATTCTCAAATTTTCTGACAGAGCTATACAGCTACTCTAGATATAGTCAAACACTTCAGGCAACACATCGATTCTCTTTTGTGTGTGTGTATGAGTGTGCATGTGCGTGCACACACGTGTGTGTGTTGAGTCCTCCTTCCTGGAGCCCCTGCCCTCCTGCTTCCGTTGGGCAGAGCGTGTTCAGCAGGCTGCGGCAGGTGTCCAGACGCTGCCTTTCAGCAGGAAATTCTCTCCACTTCTCCCCTTTGCTGAGGCCCTGCCCTCCTTTCTCTTGGTTTACGGACTCCTTTCAATGAAACACGTACTCCAGGAGATCCTCCAAAAGAGCACTTGGGTGATACATTTTAAAACATTTTTAATTAAATTTATTAGGGTGACATTGGTTATAGTGATACATTTTTACACTTGATCTTAGCCAAAAGGCCAAGAAGCGATATATAGTGATACATTTTAAAAAATTTTATGTATATCTTTATTCTGGTCTCACATTTGATTGATAGCTTATTTGGTTACAGGTTTCTAAATTGGAAACTGTATAAATTATATGCCTTCAGAATTTTTAAGCATTACTCCATTATCTTTTGGGTTCCAATGTCACTGTTTAAAAGGCTGATACTAACAATAACCAATATTTACTGAGGACCTGGTACGTAGTACTCGCTAGTGGTGTAGCTACAGTTTAGAGATCGAGAGTATAGACTGCCTGAGTTTGGTCATTTTTTCTGCTTTGTGTTGCTCAGTTGAAGTTTCCCATCTTTTTATTCATAACAAATATATTTTTCTTCACTTCACTGAGGTAAATAGATAGTTAAAATACCTGTTGTAAAATCCTTGTCTGGTCATTTTAACCTCTAGGTATCATGAAGTCAGTATGTCATGTTTCCTGATTCTGCATATGTGAGGTAATTTTGGGTTGTTGCTCAGACATTGTGGTGTTTTTTCATAGAGAGTGGGTTCTGTTAGGTAGCCCTGAAGAGCTGAAATACAAAGAAATTAAGTGACTGAAACCTTTTAAGGTGACAACTGTGTTTTCCTGGCTCCTAATGCCAATGTATTTCCAATCCATTGTATTTTTGTTTTGTTTCTCTTTTTCTCTGTCCCACTTCCCACCACCAGAAGTTTTTGGAATCTGTATTTCTGCTCTTTGGAAACTTCATACTAATGAACAATGATAGACGTTTTTTTAAAAAAAATCATTTGCCGGGTACTCAGCAGGCATCTTCAATCTGGAATTGTATATACTTCAATTCGTTTTAAAAGTATATTTTATTGATTATGCTGTTACAGTTGTCCTGATTTTCCCCCTTCCCCCCTCACCCAGTACCCCCTTTCCCTCCAGCAGTTGCCCCTTAGTTCATGTCCATGGGTCGTGCATGTAAGTTCTTTGGCTTCTCCATTTCCTATACCATTCTTAACAGGCCCCTGTCTATTTTGTACCTACCAATTATGTTTCTTATCCCCTGTCCTTTTATGCCATTCTCCCCCTTCCCCCTCCCAGCTGATAACCCTCCAAATGATCTCCATATCTATGATTCTGTTCCTGTTCTTAGTTTGTTTTTTTTTAGATTCATTTGTTCGTAGTTGTCAGTTGTCATTTTAATGTTCATAATTTTGATCTTCTTTTTCTTAAATTAATCCCTTCAACATTTCATGTAATTATGGCTTGGTAATGATGAACTCCTTAAGCTTTGCCTTGTCTGGGAAGCACTTTATCTGCCCTTCCATTCTAAACGATAGCTTTGCTGGATAGAGTAATCTCGGTTGTAGGTCCTTGCTTTTCATCAGTTTGAATACATCTTGCCTGCAAAGTTTCTTTTGAGAAATCAACTGATATAGTCTTTGGGAACTCCTTTGTAGGTAACTCTCTTGCTGTTTTTAAGATTCTTTATCTTTAACCTTTGGCATTTTAATTATGATGTGTCTTGCCCTCTTTGGGTCCAACTTGTTTGGGACTTTCTGTGCTTCCTGGACTTGTATGTCTATTTCCTTTTACAAATTAGTTAAGTTTTCTTTCATTATTTTTTCAAATATAATTTCAATTTCTTGCTCTTCCTCTTCTCATTCTGGCATCCCTATGATTTGGATGTTGGCACTTTTAGAGATGTCCCAGAGTCTTCTTACAGTATCCTCATTTAAAAAAAAATATTTTTCTTCTTTCTGTTCTGGTTGAATGCTTATTGCTTCCTTATGTTCCAAATCATTGATTTGAATACTGGCTTCCTTCCCTTCACGATTGGTTCTCTGTAGATTTTCTTTATTTTACTTAGTGTAACCTTCATTTCTTCCTTTATGTTATTGCCATACTCATTGAGTTCTGTGATCATCCTGATCACCAGTATTTTGAACTATGCATCTGATAGGTTGGCGAGCTGTGTTTCATTTAGTTCTTTTTCTAGGGTTTTGTTCTTTTCTTTCCTTTGGGCCATATTTATTTGTCTCCTCAATTTGGCGGCCTCCCTATGTTTGTTTCTGTATATTAGGTAGAGCTGCTTTGAATCCCTGTCTTAGGCTTAACACACCTGTTAAGTTGTATGGGGTGGAGCCTTAGATATTCATCAGGGTGAGTCAACGCACTTCACCACTTTGTGGCTCCGTGTGGCGGGGAGGGCTTGGAGAGGGGACAGTGCTGCTGCCTGGCTTCTGGAAGTTTGCCTGGCACTTACACTGTTTCCAGTTACTTCACTCACTTCCTGTATGCAACTGATGCCCTTCCAGCTGTTGCCCTGGTTCTGAATCCCAGAGTGGGTGGGTCTGTGTATGTTTTAACTCCATGTAGGCCCTTTAATCAGTCTCCTGAAAATCTAGCAGTTTCTTTCACTGCCCCAACCCCCACTGGTTTTTACAGGCAGAAGTTACGGGGATTTATCTTCCCAGTGCTGGAACTCTTGGCTGTGCAATCTGGCCCGGGGCTGGGATTGCTTGCTCCCAAGGTATCCCTCCTGAATTTTATCTACCACCTGTGAATGTGGGACCACCTGTTCCACCACCAGCTCCTCATGCCACACCACATCTCCTTGCCTCTCTGCCTTGACTGCATGCACCCCTCCTACCGGTCTGGAGGAATGTGGCTTCTTTAAGTCCTCAGTTGTCAGACTTCCATACAGTTCCATTTTCTGGCAGTTCTGGGTGCTATTTGATTTGAGGTTAGTTGTAATTCTTCTTGTGGTTGCCTGAGGGGGGTGAAAGCGTGTCTGCCTACACTTCCATCTTGATGAGAAGTCTGTATACTTCAGTTGTAAGAAACTTTATTATATTATCTATTTTATAATTTCTTCCTCCTCATTTTCTGTGTTTGCTCTTTTTATAACATCCTATAAGTAGGGTTGGTCTACTTTTTCAAACATTTTTGCCTATTTTTTACCATTTAATTTTTCTTATATACTTTCAGAAAGATTTCCTTATCTTTTATCTTTTAATCCTTCTATTGTTATTTTTGCAAGTCTATTTTAAACTTTCCAGAGCTTATTTTATCTTTACGTATAACAAAGAATGCTTCTTATATACTCTCCTGTTCTTGTCTCAGGAATATTTTATACCTACACTGTTTTTACTTTGTATTATGTTTTATCTAAAGATATAACTTTAAACAGTTTACTTCTGCTTCCTACATATTTACTCCAATTTATTTGTATTTGTTTATTTGGCTCTGTCTTTTTCATATTGGAGACTTTGCTGAAATGTCTGGTGTTCAGATTTAGGAGTCGGGTGCTAAAGTCCTATGCGGAGCTCTGTGTGCCAGGCTGGGCTCGGAGCCAGCCATTCATTGGGGAATTGTTGTCTATCAATATCTATAGGGTTTTCCCTTGAGCATGTGAGTTTCCCTAGAGAAGAATCTTCCAGGTTCCTGGTTGGGGTATGAAGTTGGCAGCCAGCCTTGTGAAATACTAGCAGAGTAAGAGATTGGGGGTGTATGTGTTCAGATCGTAGACTCAACCCCCTACTGAGACTAAAGCCTCCTTGCTCTCAGCTGTTCTGGATATCCTGAATTCCACCCCCCCCCCAAACACCATCTTCTGCTTGGTTTGAGTACTCCTGCTGGGTACCTGCAGGTCTACATGATTCTTATGTAGATGAGCAGCCAATCAGCTTGCGTCCCACTTTAGGAGGCCCGATGTGTCTCCAGTCCCTGGGCCTTTCACTGGAGCAATCACCTTGCTTTGTGTTGTCTCCTCCCCACTCCCGGGGCTGGTTTCGGTTTCTCTGTTCTGTTGAGTCAGTTACTTTTTCTCTCTCTCCTTTCTAGCTTTCAAAATTTAGCTCCTGTCTGTATTCATATTCTGTCTTATTGTCTTTACCCTGATGGTTTTATCCCTCTTTAAATTGCTTTACTTTCATTTTACTGGGCTCTTGTGTTCAGTCTGTTATGTTTAGCTAGAAGACACTCCCAAAGAAGTTTACTAAGTTGCTTCTATGCATGTGAAAACAAAAGGAGGGAAGTGGAATGCATATTGTGTGTATGCGTGTGTTTATGTGTGTGTGCAGAGAGAGGGAGAGAGGGAGAGGCTGGGATGCAGAACGGACAGAGGTCGTTGCTGGTGAGAGGGATAGGGGGCTGATGGGCAGGGGACTTACTCTTCATTGTTCATTTTTAAACTGAATTTTTGTAATTAAAAAATGTAAAGGTAAGTTAAGATAAAAAATGTAAGAGGTCTTTTGTGTGTGTATTCTTTACTCATTAGAACTTTAACTTGAGCTGTTTCTATGCTTCCTGTAGCCAGGGTACTGGAAAGAAAACTTGGAGTGTGTGTTTGGGTGGTGCTCAGGGATCTGGACGGGGAATGGTAGCCAGTGTCTGGCTCTGCACTCTCTCTGCCCTGTGATCCCCCTGGGCCTGCGGCTTCTCTGAAAAAGGTCTGTGAGTTCCCAGGATGCCCGGCCTCAGAGAGAGGGGTCTGGAGGACAGGAGGTATTACTGCTTCCTTTCTCTCCCACCCAGAAGCTCTATCGGCTCTTGGGTTAAGTTCCCATCTACCTGCGCGCCTGTAGTGTGCCACGAACACACCTGCGGGGAGTACGACTGTGTACGTGTGCACAGTGTGCACATACGTCAGATCATCGGAAGGAAATTCTCTGTCGTTGCATGAAAATATGCTGAAAGTTTCTTTATTTCACAGGCAAAGCATGTTCATTACAGCAAAAAGAAGAAAGTCTAAACCATTTGTAACCCACCACCAACAACTCTTTGGTGCCTCTCTTTCCAGCACTCCAGAATAATCATATAGCACATTATCATTTGAAAACTTTTTCACGTAATATATTTGGAACAGCTTTAAATGTATTTCTATAGCATTTTACATGACTGCAGTATTCTGTCGTACAGATACACTCTTGTTGGGCTCCTGTGTTGATTCTAATATTTTGCTGTTATAACTGGGAATATAGTACACATTCCTGTAATCTGATCTTCAGAAACATTCTTATTTTATAGGCTTAATTCCTAGAAAGGACCTATATTTCTGGGCCAAAGATTATGCCTAGGATAGGATTTAATAAGATTTAATGATGAGGAAATGTACTCAACATATAGTCTAACTTCAAATAATAATAATTGTAATACTAAGTGAGTCATTTGAGTAAATTATAATAATAAGTTTATTTAAAATAATTATAAAGGTATATTTATTTACTGTAGAAACTCTTGAAAATACAGGAAAATAAAGAGGGAAAATACTAGCAATAAACCTATACTAAAAGATAACCAGAATTAACAATTAGTTTTCAATTTTATTGTAACCTGATGGCTATCATACTATATGATTTTCTAACTTTTTTCTAAAAACTAATCACTTGAGATATGTGTTACATAAGTAGTTTGGTTTTTTTTTTTTTTTTTGAGTAAAGGCATTTCCGAAAGTTAATTAGGTGACATCTTTCTATTCCTAATTGTGACGGCTTGTGCCCTTATGTGAGTGAACGCACTTTTTGCCACCCAGGGTCCTACATTTGTGCACATCATTCAGCCCGGCAGCTCGCTGGTTGACATTGACCCCTGGCTCTCCTTTTCTCAATCTTCTCCTAGGTGTCAGAACTGGGAAGGGGGAATTGGCGGGGTGCCAGGGATGGAAGCCCACGGTGGTTACACGTTCTGTGGCCTGGCCGCACTGGTCATCCTCAAGAAGGAACGTTTCTTAAACTTGAAGAACTTGTTGGTAAGTGCCTGTTCATTGTCTTCCTCCCAGACCCCAGGCCCCCGTCCAGCACCCGGTCATGTGACTACTCAGGCTTTGGAGGAGGCGGGGCTGTGGGAGGGGCTCACAGAGTTCCCCTCTGGAGCTGGTGAACCCAGAGAGGAGCACTGTAACGAAGCTTTCCATACAGTTGTTAGGGTGCTCACTCTGTTTGCAGAAAGTAGAAGGAGTGAACATCTGCTCCCAGTTTCAGCTCCCTGCTGCCTGCCTTTCCATCTTCCTGCTCTGAACTTCCCACACGGTATGTTATTAAGCCAACACCAGGGTTTTCTTGAGTCCCTCAGACATCTGGTATGAGCCAGATCACCTTCCTCAGACTTCCGAGAAAAATGTAGCTTCAGTCTCTTAAAATTAGGGGTTATCCTGTGTCTTAGAATGTCCTAAGAAAAAAAGTTACGAGAAGGGCTTTGAGGCATTTTGAAGCCAAGCTTTTATTTCTGCCATGCCACGTGAACTTTCAGTAACTACCTTTAAATTTGCTGGGCAGAGCTGGGCAATTGCGTTGAGCAGGCGGCCCAAACGTCCATGCCTGGACTCCAAGCTCCTGACCAATACTCAGGATGAACTTGGAAAACTGTCACCTTCAAGGGGTCATGAGATTACCGTTAAATTGTCGTTGGAGAACTAGCAACAGACACACGCGCGGCCACCCAGGAGATGTCTTTGGGGAGCATTTACTCCCTGACTTGGACCCAAAAGCAAACAGGTGCCACTCTCTCGGAGTTTGTGTGTGAGGCTCCTGTCTTAGGCATTGTCAGGAGACCCGTCGTGAGCTCCCTGGGGAGTTTCCGCTCCACTCTGTAGAGATGTGACCAGCAGCTTTTGTCTTCATTCTTTGGAAGCCTCCTATAACATACTCTTTTTGAAGGTTGTTAAGGGCTTGAAGGTTCATGCTGAAATGGCCGGCTTTGTGCACAGGACTTTGAAATCCACTAAAATCTGATTACTAACAAGGCATGAAACATAAAAGTTTTATCTCCTGCCATGATGGGGATGGCTCAGTTGGTTGGGTATCGTCCCACAAAGTGAAAGTTCACTGGTTCGATTCCTGGTCAGGGCACACGCCTGGGTTGCAGGCTCAGTCCCCGGATGGGGCACAGTCGAGAGGCAAACAATCGAGATTTCTCTTTCTCTCTCCCCAGTTACACAGACAATATTCAAATTTGAACCCTGTCTATACTTCCTCGCCATGCGACCTGGGAAAATTGTTGAATCTGTTTTCCCTTCGCCTTTTCCCCTCTGTAAGGTAGTAGTTCCTTGAAGGTCAGAGGACAGCACATGTGTAAACAGCCCGGCACGTGGTCGGTCCTCAGTGCATGTCAGTGTCCTTCTTCCCGGCTGCTCCCTGCCCTCCATTTGCTCTGGGAGAACCAGGGCTCGTATCTGAAGGATTTTGTGGAGTCGACAGAATAAATCCATGGCTTAGACACTGATAAAAATTCATTAGTCTGGCTTAAAGGACTTAATATGTGGGGTAAGCAAAAATGAAGCATGGACTTCCCACGAAGGTGGCGACTGCCCCTTTTTTGAGTGATGAATGCGTAGCTTACTTTCATTAAAGGGCATCAGCCCCAAAGCCCTGGTTCATTTAAGACTGACTGGGGATAACTTAGTGCCTACACTTGCTGTGCAATTTTCTTGTCTTTCTTTTAAAAAAATTGGGATTGTGACTCTTTCTAGGTGGGTGTGACCTTAAGTAGGGAAACAATCTAAAGCCCACAACCATTTACTTAAAGAAAGGCTGGAACTTGCTCTCCCTGTCCCCATCTCTGCAAGGGTCATTTGTGACTACTGTCAGGTACGCAGTCTAGGAAGACTGTAGGTGCAGGGGGAAGACCCCGCTCGGGCCGTTCAGTTACCCAGGCAGTGCTGGGAGGCCGTGGCTGGCGGGGGAACTGCCTTGCAGGGCTGGGAGGAAAATGGGAACGTCGTTATCTGCTCAGCCAGCTGGCTCTGCTCCGAGTGGCCCAGCCTGTGAGGATCTCGGCCTGTCATAGAGTGTGCTTAGAAAACTTGGAGATAAGTGAGAAATGGTAATATCATACGTGACCACTGAGTGATATCAGGAGCCATTTTACAGGTCCCAAGGAAAAGATTTTCTTCTGTCAGCCAACCAGGTTCCCGGGAGAGAGGCCGGACCAGACAGAGCCATCACTGCTAATCGAAACTAGTGGCCTCTGCTTCCAGTCTGCAAGTGACTTGCTTAGCGACCTGGGATGAGTTTCCTTAGGAGCCAAGTAAAAGTCAGAAACAGTTTGAGATCATCCAGTGAGATGTAGCACAAAATTCCTGCTTTTAATAAACTTCCCTGAGCAGGGAAAGTGATTAGAAATGAGCTCCTGGTGGTCTTGCCTTAAATTTCCTAGCAAGCCCTGTCCTTTAAGAAACATTTGCGGGTGTCCTTACAAAGCCAGCTTGGTCTCTTCATGCTCTCGGCACCAGCACCCATGTGGAACCTGGGGAAAGCTGGTTAAATTGTGTTAGTCTCTAAGCAGAGATCAGTGCTGGCTGCCTCGGGAGGGTCGGCCTAAATGTTCCACTCGAGGTCTGGCAGTGAGGGGAAGGAGGTGAGAAGCCAAAGCGCTAGAAGTCTGAGCACCGGCAAGCCAGAGATGCCTCCCCAGATCAGCCTCTGGAGAACTGGTCTTGCTGGATTTTGTGTCTTTTGGCCGACCACTGCCTCTCCCTCTTTGCTTCCTTCTCAGCAATGGGTGACAAGCCGGCAGATGCGGTTTGAAGGTGGATTCCAGGGCCGCTGTAACAAGCTGGTGGATGGCTGCTACTCCTTCTGGCAGGCAGGGCTCCTACCCCTCCTCCACCGGGCACTGCATGCTCAAGGTGAGCTGGGACCTGTGGGGGGTGGGGGCAGGGGTGGGGGCTAGGTGATTTTCCTAGGCTGCTATAACCAAGTCAGGAAGCCAGAGCGCATTTTCAGAGGGATTGAAATAGCTCTATCCTGGAGCTTCAGTTGCCAGCCTGGAACCTTCTCTCAGGCATGCACGCGCAGACTAGGAGTTAGTTCCAGTGGTTTAGGGATCGCGGCTGCTTTGCACTGGCTGTGGCTGGGAGGGGGTGGGTGCCTGTCCTGGGCCCCACACTGACTGACACCTCAGCTGGGTGTGAAGCCACAGTTTCCAATGCGGGGCTCCAAACTGGTCATATCGGAACTGAAAACCCATGCTGCGCACGTGGTCACAGCAGTGACAGAAAAGGGAACTGTATAAAGGGGCAGAGAACCAGAACCCACAGAGAAAAGGCCCTCCGTGTCTGTCTGGCTGTAACTGCCACCATAAGAAATGTGGGTTTTAAAATGTTAAAGAATCCAAAATGGAAGTTTGTCCTGCCTGCACTACTGGAGTGGAGAGGCACGTGTTTTTCCTGTGGCCTCTCAGATGAGAGTGCAAAACCGAAGCAAAGCCCTGGGAACCCTCCCATATTATCTCTTGAAATCTCAGGCCACCTGCTGCATCCTGAGTTATCTTTCCCAGTTATTTTGTGTGAGAACAGGATGTCTCTGAGGAAGTCAGTGCGGGGTGGTGGGGGGAGGGCGGGCCTGGTTGCTCTGCTGGGCGCCGATCTGTTCTTGGACAGAGATCCCTTGGCCCCAGGGAAGCTTTTCTTCGGACTTTGTCGTTGGGCGATCTGTGGCTCAAATGCCGACCGATGAGATTCTTTTCTACCGCCCACCCCTATCTCCAACACACACACACACTTTTTCTCTTTGGCTGTTCTCTCTGAGCTTCTTTCTTTAGTTTCTTAATTTCATTTGAGCTGTGGCCACTTGGAGACTGAACTGAAGTGAACAGAGCCTCTGTCCGGCCTGTGCTCGCTTTCTTCCCGTCTCAGCCCGTCCTCAGAGCCCTTGGCCTGGGCCTGGGCTTTTGGGCCCGCCCAGTCTGGGCTGGACCACTGTACTGGGGAAGTCAGGAACTTCCCTAGAGTCCAGCGTTTTCAAATCAGAAATAACATGAGGCTTTAGTGATCTTTTCATTGGAACTGGTGAGATTGAGCCCCTGGTAAAGTCGTCAGCCTTTCACAAACCTGGCCTTGGCAGGGCTGAGATGCTGTCATCCTGCAGTTGCCAGGAAAATTCGGAGAGAGCTGTAACGGGAGCACCACCTGCCAGCATTTCCCAGGGGGGCCCGGGCTGACATCTTGTTTATTGCAGCACAAGTCCTGGAGGACTCGGCACATCAGAGCGCGCCTGTGGGAAAGGCTGCCTGTGTGTCTCCGGCCTTCGGTGCTTCGGCTGTTCCACTGCCAGGAGAAGGCCCTCGCTGGGCCTGCCCCCAGCCGTTTTCTCAGAAGCAGCGGGCTCGGGCCAGGCAGGGTCTGGAAGAAGGGAAGCGTTCTGAACGGTGGGCAAAATAATGACGTTGGGAGTCAAAAGGTGATGCAGCGTAGAAAGATCTTGAGAATATACTGTGATCAAAGTTGTGTTTCAAAGCAGTGTGCATATAACTGCAGTTTTAGGGAGGAGCTGGCTCCCAAAATCTAATGGAAGGTATCTGGGTTGTAAAATGACAGGCGACGTTTGTTTTCTTTCTTTTTTGTTTGCATTTTCTAATTTTCCTACAATTACTTTGCATTTCTTATATAAAGAAAAACACCAAAGTTATTTTACAAAAGAAGGGAGGCCTGGCTGGTGTGGCTCACTGGACTGAGTGCCTAAATGTCGCTGGTTCTATTCCCTCCCAGTCAGGACACACGCCTGGGTTGCAGGCCAGGTCCCCCCGGTTGAGGGTGGGTAGAGGCAGTCGATTGATGTATCTCTCACACATCAATGTTTTTCTCCCTGTCTTTCTCCCTGCCTCCTCCTCTCTCTAAGAATAAATACATAAAATCTTTTTTAAAAAGAAGGGAAATGATATACACAAGTAGCAAGGTGGGAAGAGTATTTCTGACAAATGACAAAGGGCTAATGTCTCTAACTTGAGAAAGTCATCTGAATCAATAAGAAACAACCAAACTGCCCAGTTGAAAAACAGGCAAAGGAGCCAAACAAGACAGAAAAAGAACTGCTATTGTTATTACTTCTACAACTGCTGCTGCTACGGCCGCTGAGACTTAGTGAGCGCTGGCTGTGCCAGGGGCTGGCAGGCATGTTTTCATTTGACCCTCAGAACAACCTTTTGAAAGGGGTGCTATTGTTATTCCCATTTTACAGCTGAGGAAACAGTACATCCAGGGTGAGCGAGGTGCTTTATAAATACCTGACTGCTACCTGCAGCATTATCAGCGCCCTGTTTGTAACCACCACACACAGATGGCCTTTAATCAAACGAAGAGGTGATAAAGAAATGCAAATAAGAACAGTGGGACACTATTCGTTTTTTGCTGTCAGGTTGACAGGGATTAGCAACCTCTATTCGATACCCTATACTGGGGAAAGTGTGAAAAACAGGCACTTTTGTACTGTTAGTGGGGGTGGAAATTGGTGCATCATTTTTTGGAGGGTAGTTTGGAGACACCTGTTTAGATCACTTGAACCCAGCAGGTGACTGGCAGAACATTACCTGCAGAGAGATTAGCAAAGGATGTATATTGGAGTTTTAAATTTTTTTAAAATCCTCATCCAAGGACATTTTTTCATTGCTCTCAGAGAGAGAATGTAAGGGAGAGAAACATCGGTGCAAGAGAAAAGCATAGATTGGTCACTTTCTGTAGGCGGCTAGACCAGGAATCGGACTCACAACCCTGTCATGCACCCAGACCAGGAATTGAACCTGAAACCTTTTGGTTATGGAATGATGCTCCAACCAGCTGAGCCACAGTGGCCAGGGCTGAAGTGAAGTTTCAATAGCAAACAACCCCACTGTCCATGAAAAGGTCAAAAGTTAAATAAGTTATGATCTCTCCAGACATGGCTGCCTACAATGGGCCAATGCAGAGAGCTCTCCAGGACACACCAAAAGGACCAGGGGCCAGGCCGAGAGCCGTCTGTGCTTGCACACAGGCTGACACCCACCAGCTTTCCCTGGAAGCAGACACAAAGACCCTGTAACAGTGGGTGCCTCTGGGTGAGGGGAGGATGTGGAGGGAGGGGACTTCCTTTTTAAATTTTCTATCCTCTGCCCTTCTTTTTTTGCCACGTGCATTATTACTTTTATTTCAGTAAATGAATAAACAACACTTTTAAAAGGCGATGATCATACTGTTAACTGAAAAGATAAATAACAAGGGACCGACACTCGGTGGCCCGCAGACCCAGGCTAGACCCTGACTCTGCAAGTGGCCTTTGTCCATAGTTCCCTGGGGGTGGGTTCCGGAACACGGGTAGAAGACAGTGTTTGAGTAGAAGCATGAGTTATTATTAGTAACTTAGGAATATCAAATGCAGACTGAATTCGTGCGTTGTTTTGTACTTGTGGAGGGATGCGGAAGCAGCAGGCCTGTGGGTTTCTGTCTGGATTTGTCGTTACTGGTTGCTTGCTTGTTCTTTGGGACAAACCCCAGGCGTATATTTGTCCACCTGTGAAGCTGAGCTACACCTGTCACTTACTGTTTGGAAAAACTTTTGATTTCTTAGATGAAAGGAAACTTTGAAATGCAAAAGGACATTATAATGGGGCTCTGTAATTTAAGGCGGGGGTCTGAAGGACTTACAAGCTGGTTCCAGTGCCCAGTCTCACCCTGCAGTCCTATCTCCCTTCATCTCAGTATGATTCCATGTGTCGATGTGCACAGACTCAGGGTCTCTGGGAGTCCCCTGTCGAGATTGTGAACTTTGAGCTTGCAGACGTCAGTAATGTCGGAGGTGACTGAAGCACTCTGTAATCTACTCAATAGAAAACATAACATTTTTCTTTCAGATTCCAATTTTTGTGATAGGTTATCATTTACTTTATAGTAAGTCTTTGAATTCTCATAGGATATGAAATAAAGGTGTATTTTGTATAGATGCTTAATGCTGTTGTCCTGAAGTTGAATAAATATGCTTTTAAAAATAACAGCCTTCTTGAGATATAATTCACCCATTTGAAGTATACAATTTAATGGTTTTTCACGTAGACCCAGAATTGTGCACCGTCACCATAATCAGTGTTAGAGTTTTCATCAATGCCCTGCCCCCAAGAATTCCTGGACCCATTAAGTAGGCTTCTCTAAAGGAGAAATTACAAAGGCAAAAGCAACAGTGTGATTATAGCATGTGGGTTTTATAGATGCATGTGTAATTTCTTTAAAACCCATACACCCAAACAGGTGAAAGTATGTGTAGAATTGGGTAAATATAATAGAAAGTTAGATTGGTAAAATTCACTCTTGGATCTTGGAAGCCAAAGGATCAACAGACGCTCTCAAAAGAAATGCAACTAGCAAACAAAAGTTATAGGACAATTGCATCCTCCTTAGTAATCAAAGGCATGTAAATCAACACCAATTGTCAGGTACTGTTTCTTTTTAACATTTTAAATGCTGATGATTTTTTTAAGTAAGTAATGCTGGAAGTAGTACTGGAACATCTTAAATTTCGCTGCCAGCTATATAAATTCTTCAAGTAGCTCATTAGTATCTATGAAAATCCTTAAACATGTTTATCCTCTTCAACTGAATACTTACACTCCTGAAAATCTATCAGAAGAAAATAATCCTAACATAGAGAAGACCCACAGAGATGTGTGTTGCAACCTTTTTTAACAATTGCAAGGAACTTGACACAACCTTGAAAATAAGTAAAAGGGGGTAGGGTGAAGTCCCCATCGTGGATACAGTGTCTTCTACAAAGTCCGCTGTGCTCATAGATGGGGAAGGAAGAAAGAGGGAGGTAATTAACATAGTGTGAGTGCTTCAGAGAGCACGTGTCTGGGCGTGGAGTGAGCCTGAGACAGGGACCCGAGAGCGCTGTCCCTGCGCCGGGCTCAGTTCTGTGTGCCTGGTCCACTGTGACCGTCCCAGGGGCTGAGTGTGGCTCAGGTGTTGAGGGTGAGTGGTTTCTGTACGTGACCCCCAGATGTCAGCCAACCACTGCAGAGCATCTCGTGTTCAGACCAGGAAGTGGCACTCGCTTTCTGACTGCCCCATCACTTACTCTCTCATTTAAGACATCTAAGAACTACTTTTCTGTATATTCTCTCTCTCTCTCTCTCTCTCTCTCTCTCTCTCTCTCTCTCTCTCTATATATATATATATATATATATATATATATATATATATATATATGTATATATCCCACGATTGCATATTCTGCTTACCTACTCTCTTTATATAGTGCATTTACTGTAAACATTGACAAATTTTTATCATAGAAGATTCTGTGCTCACATATATGAAGTTTTGGCCCAGTGTCTATATTAGCACAGTTACCTTGTACCTCCACTTAATGAAATACTATGTAATGCTTCAGAATGATGGTTATGAAGATTATGTAGCAGAAGAGGAAAGTCGATGCCTATAATGTTAAATGAAAAACTTAAGATATTGTACAAAAGCACAGTAACTATATAGAAAATCACTTAGAGATGAAAAAATGCCTGGAAGAAAGAAAAAGTAGCCTTTCAATTGCCATTGTTTGCTGTCTTTGTAGCCCAGGTATCAAAGTGTAAAACTGACCAAGGACTTCATGCACATCTCATGTGTGTATCTTTAAGAAATCAATCCCCATGTAAATCTTTCTGCACACATCTGTCTCTTGGTGGATTGTCCCTCCTCCCCACTTGAAAACCATGTGGCCCACAGAATCCTCCGATGGTGCAGCTTGGACTTCAGAGTGAAGAGGCCCAGTGCTTGGCAACACTGTAGCATAATTACTGAAACTGCCCATACGATGCAAGACGGCAGTTCCTAGCAATGCTTCTCAGGGACATCTTTGAGCCAAAAGAAAAGTCGGAGAATTCCCTTTGGAGGTAGATTAAATTCAGGCTTAGAAAAGTAGAATAGACAGACATTACCAGCCCTGTTAGGAGTTCTCTTAGCCAATTAGAGTCTGGTGAACAAGTTTTAGAGATGAGCTAGATGAAATGCAGCCCAGAGTGAGGAGCTGTGGACCAAGTCGGGAGCAGCGACAGAGATCCGTCTGGAAAGCCGAGCCAACAAGCTAGCCCATGCCTGTCACAGACAGAGTTGAAGGTGGTCATCCACAGTAATGGGTGCATTTCAAACAAAGCAAAAGCCACTCTGCACTGCTGCTCTTTGACCCATGTCAGGGTTCAGGAGAAGGGACATGTCACAGGTAATAAAACACAGAGGAGTCATCGATACTGGGCTGGACTTTCACCAGGCCTGGGTCCGCACTGATCCTTTGCCTTTCTCCAGGTGACCCTGCCCTCAGCATGAGCCACTGGATGTTCCATCAGCAGGCCCTGCAGGAATACATTCTCATGTGCTGCCAGTGCCCCGCCGGGGGGCTTCTGGACAAGCCTGGCAAGTGAGTGCCTCCTGTCTGGGGGGCGAAGGGTGGAGAGGGGTCAGACAGGTGTGCACCTCAAGTCTACTCAGAGCCAGACGGCAGCAGGCATTGCCCTTTAAAAAGACGGGGTGTCCCTTTCCATCCAGCTGCTTAGTGCTGGTGTGGAAGAAGCACCCCAACTCTGGAGCGCCCCCTTTGAGTGCCATCCATCCTGGCACCTCCAGTGCCCACCCTTCCGCCAAGCGTACACGCACTCCCCTCTCCAGACAGGCAAAGAAATCGCTGGGTTGGTAGTTTTCTTCCTCTTTTTTCACTTTTAACCAAACTGCTTTAAATAGGACAGGATACAAGATTTAAAAACCCTTCAGTATCATAATCAGAGATTATAATTACAACTAATACAGAATAGACTGCATACATTTAGGTGCCAAATAAGGGAAATCAAATAAGTTCTCTTCCCTTTGCTTCTCACCTGCCACGCACATGTGCACGCACACGCCTGCTGCTGTCAGCACCCAGCGGAAGACCCACCCGAAGGCTGGTCCCCCACAGTGTATCAGGAGGTGCTGGGCTCATTTGTAGACATATTGGTGGTGTTTTTTTCTTTTTAAAGAAATATATTAATTTAGCACTAGCACCAGCCAGGAGAGCTCTTTCTGGAAGCCAGCTGGAGGGACTGACTCTGAAGTGACAGTTGCTGCCATCTGGCAGGGCTGCAGGACCGGGCTTTGAAAACGCAGCTGGGGAAAGCCAGGCTTCCCCGGAGCTGCTGGAGGAGGGCGGGGCGGGATGTGGGAGTGCGTGGGTTCCGAGTGGGCTCTGTTGCAGGCTGTGATGGGGGCGACGGGGAGCAGAGGAGTAGCTGCTCAGAGCTGCCCTGTGCTTGCAGGTCGCGGGACTTCTACCACACCTGCTACTGCCTGAGCGGCCTGTCCATAGCTCAGCACTTCGGCAGTGGAGCCATGTTGCACGACGTGGTCCTGGGTGTGCCCGAAAACGCTCTGGTAAGGCCATGTGCTCCACAGGCCCCCGCTTGCGCGCCCCCTCTCCTGAGAAGCCTCCTCAGCCCGTCTGTAAATGAGATCTCCCACGGTCTGCCGCAGCGCCCTGTCTGTGCCCTTCGTAGCGCTCATCACAATCTGTGTCATGTGTTTTGTTGCTGCCCTGGGACCCAGTCAGTCCCTCGCGGGCAGGGTGTTCAACACCACGCTCCACCCTGGAGCGCCTGGTCCCAGAGCCACACCCGGAGACGCTCCTGAGCCTGGCGCCTGAGTCTAAACAGACTGTCCTCAGCCCTCCGATGACGGGGCCTGTGCAGACGGTTCCCGACAGGGGAAGCGCCAATGGCCAGTCCACAAAGTAACTAACGGCCACTAGCCTTTTCAAGTCGGAACATTTTTCCCCATGTTTGCCTCCTACGCAGCCCTCTCCTCCTCTCCCACCCCCTTCCCAGTGTAGCCCTGCCCTGGATTTGACATTTATCACACCTGCAGATGCTCTGTGCTGTCACTTCAAATGCTCGTATCCCTAAACACTACAGAGTTGGTGTGTATGTTTTCAAACTTTTTATAACAGTATCTACTGTGCCGCCTACTCCACACTGCTCTTCTCATTGACCATTTGTTATACTTTTGAGGCTTTTCTGTGTTCATACATGTTGCTCTAGTGTATTCATTTTAACTCCTGGATGGTCTCGTACAAATGTAACCCAACTTACTCTTTCAGTCTCCTGTTGGTTAACATTGAGCTGCTTTCAGCTTTCGCTCTCAGTGTGGCCGTGAACATTCTGACATGAGATTCTCTGGGAGAGGCCTGCTGAGTCGGGGAAAAGCCAGGCCTCCATCCTCACTGGAGGGCACCCAGCCTCTCCTCTGTGGCCGTGGGCGCTTACACTCACACAGCCGAGTCACTCCACAGTCAGACAGTTCCATCCCGCCCTTGGGCAGACGTGCAGTTGTGTCACAGTTGTGTTTTGCACTTCCCTCAGTGTTAGTGAGGTTGAACATCTTCTCAGATGTTGTGTCTTTTTGTGTTATGTCCTCTGTGAATTGCCTGCCAGCTCATATCCTTTGCTCACTTTCTTCCTGACTTGTAATTTGAATTGTTTGCCCTTTCTTACGTATTTGTGGGAGTTCACTGCCTGTTCTTGGTACTGCTCCTTGGTCAGTGGTGCGTGTGGTAAATCTCTTCCAGGTTTTTCACTTTGTTTTTAGTGGGGTTTTTTTTTTAGTCAAATAGACAATTTTAATTTTAAAGGGAGCAATTTCATTTGCTTTTTTATTTTTTGGTTTTTGAGATTTCTTTCTCGGGGGGTAGGTGTTTACCTAAGAAAATTTTCCCCAGGCTCTGGTCATAGATATGTTTCCTTCAAGATGGTTTAAACCTTTGCTTTTCCCATCTGGATGTTTAATTCTCTTGGATTGGTGCCTATCTGTTCTGAGGGTTGGATACAATTTTATCTCCTTTCCGTATGGACAACCAGTTGACCAACAGTGTTTATTGAACTTTGCAGCCTTTCCCGCTGGTGTGGATCACGTGTGTCACACACTCAGCTTCCGTGTACGGGGTGGCTCTTTCCCACCACTGTTCTGTGCCTTTGGTTCGTTTGCCTCTCGGCACTGTCTTCAGGAAATCTTAGGTCCTGGTAGGCAAGTCCCATCCACCTCGGTCTTTTTCTTCAAAATTGCACGGGCTATTCTTTGCTTTCTGCTTCTCTCCTTGAATATAGAATCAGCTTCTCAAATTCCACAAAATACATCTAATGGAATTTTCATTGCAATTGCATTGAATTTAAGATTAGTGGGAGAGAACTGACTTCTCAATATTAAGCTTCCTGTTTGTGAACATACCATGTCCTTCAATGGTCTTTTATCATTTTCTCCATAAAGACTTAGCACATCTTTGATATATACATATGTTTAAGAAATTTGTAATTTTTGAATCTATTGTTTCTGAAATGTTTATTTTCCCATTATATTTTGTAATTGGTTGTTACTAATGTATGAAAATGCTACTGGTATTTATATTTTAATTTTGTATCCAGCAACCTTGCTGACCTTTCTTTCTTTTTTTTTTTTTAATTGTAATTAAATTTTTTTTCTGACCTTTCTTAATAGTTGTTAATAGTTTGTCATAGAATCTCTTGGATTTTCCATTTAGAAAGTAACATCATCTTCAATAAGGACAGTTTTGCCTTTTCCTTCCTGAGCTTAAGAATTTTATTTCTTGTTCTTACCTTTTAAGGTTGGCTAAGGTCCCCTCAGACTGAAGGTAATAACAGAGGCCATTCCTGTTTTGCTTCTGATTATAATCAGAAGGCTTCTATAATTTCACCATTATATAGGATGCTTATTGTGTTGGGTTTTTTTAACAAAAATGTTTAAAGTATTTTATTTATTTTTAGTGGGGGAGAAAGGGAGGGAGAGAAACACTGATGGTTGTCTCTCACATGTCCCCTACTGGGGACCTGGCCTGCAACCCAAGCATGGGCCCTGACTGGGAATCGAACCTGTGACCTCTTGGTCCCCAGGCCAGCACTCAGTCCACTGAGCCATACCAGCCAGGGCTATGGGGTTTTGATAAATACTTTCTATCAGATTAAGGATGTTTCTTTTTATTCCTGGTTTGTTAACTTATTTTTGTTTGTTTATTTCAATCATAATCTAGTGTAAGACTTTCTTGAATGCTTTTTCTGCATCCGGTTTTTCTCCTTTAATATAGTGTGTTTAATTAATAAATATTCTGTTGGTAACCTTACATTCTCGTGATGAGCCCTTCTCGGTCATCGTGGTACATGTGTGTGTCTGTGTTTGTTTAACACACTGCTAGATTCTCTTTGCTAACATTTTTGGCTAGTATTTTTATTTAGAATTTTTGCCTATATGTTAATAACATTGGTCTAAATTTTTGTTTCATCGTCTCTTCCAGTTGGTTTCAGGATAATATCATAGCCCCGTAAAATGAGATGCGTATCTCCCCCCCGCCTCCTTCTTTCAGCCTTTGGGAGAAGTTGTGTCTGTGGGAGATCACCTGTTTCTTGGAGGTTCGGTCGCGCTGCCTGAGAAACCGTCCAGGCCCTGTGTTTTCTGCAGGGATGGACGGTAGCAGAATACGCAGTTGTTACTGTTGACTTAATGTATTCATCTAGGTTTTAAAGAAATTCTGCTTGAGTCAGTTTTAAAAATTTGTAAAGTTACTCAGTTCATCTGAAATTTTATGTGGTTGGCATGAGGTAGCTCACAGTATTCCTTTAAAAATTTTGAAATCTCCCCTGCAGTCATGTCCCCTCCTTCATTCTCTCCGAGTGGAAGTGACCCCCGACTGCTGGCCTAGGCTGCACGCCTGCCCCAGACCTGAAGTTTCTCCTGGGTCTCTGTGATGTGGTGAAATAATGCAGAAGAATTTAATAGGGCCCGACACCTTTGCTGTGAAATAGGGTTGTGGTTCTTTTGCTTGATTATAAATGTGAATACATGCTCATTATTTTAATCATTGGAATATATAGAAAAGTTCAAATAAGAAAAATTAAAAACCATCAATCGTATCACTATGTCATGCTTCCTGTTTTGGTATATGTCCAATTTTTGCCTATCCAGACACATCACAGCTATAAAAACAGTTTTACTTTTATATATTTTTCTTTCTAACGGCATCTTTTTAATTAAAATACAGACATAAAAGATTGATAAACACTGTTCGGAAAAATGGCATTTTTCCCAAGTGGCACACCTAACATGTCCTTACCCTGAACTGCACACACTGTAACTCAGAAGTGCAACTATATTTTGAAAGTGTGGAATAATATTGTACATACTGTTTTTCCTACTTAATATGTTCTAAACGTTTGCCCACATCATTAAATATTTAAAAGCATGTCTTTTAATGGCTCCATAATATTCCTGTATGTCCCATGTCCTAGAAAATATTTTTGATCAATACCCTCCTGTTGAACTTCTGGACCTTGTGTGATAACCCTCTGTGAGACTCTCTTATGCTAAATTGTTACAAGCACTTTAATGGGTAAAATTTCCAAGGACTGTCAGGGCGATTAATCGGCTTCCGTTCTCTCTGCAGCAGCCCACCCACCCTGTGTACAACATCGGCCCGGACAAGGTGATCCAGGCCACCATGCACTTTCTGCAGAAGCCAGTCCCAGGCTTCCAGGAGCACGAGGGTGAGGCAACGGCAGAGCCTTCCGCCGACTAGAGGACCCGAGGGGCCCGAGTCCCTGTGTGCACCGCAGCTCCGTTTCACCTGCTCAGGCCGAGGATTACACGTGGCGATACACACTGCATTCTCTGCTGCACAGGCCTCGGCCACTGCGAGCTGTGCTTGCCCGTTCTTGTCCAACAGAACAAAACCGATGACTCTGGGTTTGGAGAACACAGTGACGTGGTTTTAAACAAATTCTTTCCACTCCTGACAAGCCAAAAATCCATCAGCACGTGCAGCATCTAAACCCACTTGGGCCTGGCCAGGGTTGGTTGGGGAACAGTACACGCTGGGAGGAGGCAGCCCCTCCCCACCAGCTCTCCGGCCAGGACAGTTCTGTGGAAATGAATGACGTCCACGAGTATGAGTATGAGCATCTACTGCCGGGACTCCCGCTTGCACGCCACCACTAAGTCGCCAGGACGGTGCCCTCCCCTGGGCAAATAGGGCAAATAAATCTGCTCCGTGGCAAGATGAATTTTCCAGAGAAAGAAACCATGGAGGAGCCCAAGGCTCTCGCCTTCCTCGTTTGCACTGGAAAAGGGCCGGGCTGGGGGAGAGCTGTCTCCTTGAGTCGTGAGTCCCTCCTCCTCCACACAGGAGAACCGAGCCACACGTCTCGGGAAGGCCACGCTTAGTGTGCGGGCAGGATTTGCTTCAGCCCCAGGTGTGGGAAACCAATTATGAGTGGAAAATTAATGTCGAATTCAACTCTGTGCCAGAGGAAGCAGCCCGGGGCCCACGCCCTCACCCCACCCCATCATGTACCGTGAAAAACCCCCCTGATGGCTGCAAGGCAGCGCCTGCAGCCTGTGGCCAATTCTGCGCGGTTTCCATCTTTTTCCACCGAGCCCCAGCCCATGCTGTTCAAAGACAGTGTTGTCTTCTCTCATCCAGAGTATTAATAACTACTAAGTCTTTCACCTTAATTTCCAACTCAGGATTTTTTTCACATTCTGCCCACTCCAGGCTCAGAGAAATAAAATCAAGTGCTAGAGGCAGGGCCGAGTGCCGCCTGGTGTGTTAGGCCTCCGCTGCTCACACAGAACCCTGGTCAGTGGGGCGTCGAGTTGGGTCGTCTGTCCACTGCTGTGGTCACAGCAAGCTCCATGTCGCTGACCTGGCTTTCACATGGGCAGGCATGGGCTGTGGGCAGATGAGAGCTCAGAGTTGCAGCCTGAGGCTCTTCTCAAACACTCTGGCCATTGGCTGCCTCTAATTCCCTGTTGCTTTGGTGTATTGGACTATGTATTATCTCCCTGAAATAATAAAGGAATAACATTTTCTATGATGTTTCTCCTTTGTGACGGACACTAAGAAAATTCCTTCCGAATGATCAGTGTTGGGAGTTGTTGAAGGTTGTTCACCATCGCCAGTCTCCTCCTGAGATTCCACACCAGGCGCGTGGGTGATGACGAAGGCGGCTGACTTGGGTTCCGCCCTCACAGACCTTCTCCAGCTGAGGACACTGTGGGCCTGATGAGGACTGGGGAAAGCTGTGTCTCCCAGGTTCCCTGGGGCGGCTCGCTTTGCTCTTGTCCCAGCACTCCGCACACTGTGTTTCCTGGTCTGCCCGGGGGTCTGTCTCCTCGACGTGACTATAAGCAGGGACTGCGCTCCTGAGTCCTGAAGCAGGTGATCAGCAATGAGTGGGTGGGTGCGCGTCCTGGCCAGAGGCAGGGGAGCTGTCACGGGGACGCGTCAGAATCCTGTGGTCCCCCGGCTTTCTTCCTCATCTGGCAGGAGACTCTTTCCCAAGGGAGACCAAGAAGGTAAGTGCTCTGTGGCCTGACCCTCCTTGATGGACAAGAAGAGGTTGTCCTCAGAGGTAGAGCTTAACCCAAATCCACACCCTGGAGTGTAGTTCCTGCCTGCATGTCATTTTTGTTCTGCTACAAAAGGGTTGAACTACAAAGCAACATACTGAAATGCATCACCCCCATCGCGACAAGAACACCAACCCTACCAGAGACTCTAAAATTCCACTCCTCTCTACTGTCCGTGCAGTGTACCAGCAGCCTTGTAAAAAATTAACTAACAGAAACCTCATGGAAAGTGAAGTCGGGTGACCAGGAGAGGGAGCTCTCATGCCCTACGTGGGGCGCAGAGAACACCGCGGAAAGTGTTCACAGGCCTTCCCAATCTCCCTTCCCCTCCACGAAAGAGCTTCCTCTTTTGTTTCAGCTGATTTCACTCGCAGGTGGCTTGCCGCAGTCTCGTCTTCTTGTTTCACACACGGGCTTACAATTGCTTTTCCCAAATAAGCCCATTTTGCTGGAGAAATAGCTGGCTTTTTGTTTATAGTCAACAGCCCCAAGGCATTCTGAGATAAACTGTAGTGGTAATTGTTGTGGTGAAGAGACAGAAGGGATTGCTGAGTGTGAGCTGGCTTTATGCCAAGGAGGGAAGATTTGTGTTGGGTCCCAAAAGGCAGGTGAAGTTTGGCCAGGTAAAGAAAGGAGGACCATTTGCTGGTCCTCTGACCTCAGAATGACTCTTACTGGTATATCCATGGGACTTCCTTTCTGCTCCTAGCTGTCTGGAGGGTTTCCTGCCCTGAACAGCATCCAAGTAAAACCTTCAGGTAAATTCTCAGATTTATCACGTGGATCCTTAAGTAGAAGGCACTCATCACACTCAGGGTGGTTTGCTCCCAATGCATATTTCCCCCATCGGTAAAGAAACAGAAAACTATTACAGATCTTTTCATGCAGATGAGCCTTGACTTCCCCCTTGGGTCCATCTCGCACCCAGGGTGAGTGCTGTGGAAGTTGGGAAGGCTGCCGGACACTACAGGGAGCAGAGGGGGAGCCTTGCGATGAGCCAGTGCGAGCTCCCCCGAGAGAACAACACCGTCCCAGTCAGCAGTGTTCATTCCCAGACTGCCCCCTCTTCAAGGAGTTAGAAGCCATGAGTGGATTCTGGCCACTGTGTGTGGACAGTGCAGCGGTGTTCTTGAGGAGGCCCCTTCTCAGGAAGACCCCGCACAAAAGCAGAGGCCGTGTTAAATAACTCTTCCACGATGGCCTTCCACTGAGGGCTGGCCTGAGGCATTGCTGTGGTGCTTTTCCTGGTGGTTTAACCTAGCAGTGAGATTCAGACCAGAAAACCCAAGGGGGTGACCTTGGCTATTTCACCAAGATTTACTGTCTATGTGGTACTTCTGGTGGGAGCTTGATGGCTGGGAATGAAAATGGGAACTCCCCAATTGCCCCCCGGGGTGAACTGTTTTGTTGGTAGATGTGGAATCCATCAGCTTTAGATGCAGATGCAGATGCAGATAACGATGCTGCCATTCCAGTGGGAAAACTGAAGAACTTCCATTCCCACCTTATTTACATCGATCCTACCTCCAGGTGGAAGTGGGTCACTGGGCTACCGCTGGAATTTGCCAGTAGCTTTAACATCCCAACTCGGAGGGGTAATGGCCTGGGGTGGAAAAAGAATGTTTATACACCTATAGGCTTCCAAGACACTGTGACCAGGGCTAGTAAGATATAGGCACTGCATAAACCAAACCTTAAAGACATAGGATGTCTCTCATTCACTGGGACAAGTTCAGTTCTGTGAAAGGCTGCTTTCCTAATGCTGATAATCGAACCGGGCGTCAACGGGATACAGAGGTCTCCAATGGAGGGTCACTCAGTGTTGCTTCCACCTGGGGACACACATGGGGGCAACAAACTTCCTCTGTAGAGGGCCAAGTACTAGCTATTTTAGGCTTTGTAAGCGACTACTGAACCCTGCTCTGCCATTGCAGTACAAAGCAGTCATGAGCAAAGTGAGGCTGTGTTCCAATAAAACTTTACGGAAACAGGTGTGGGCCTGATCTGGCCCATTGGCTGCAGTTTGCCGATCCCTGATCTAGGCTAAATCTCATCCGTATTCATTCCTTCATGGCTGGGCTGCTTTCCATGGGATATTAGTGTCAAATGATAAACGGTGAAGTTGGGCAAATGTTCTAGCCACCCACGTGCACTGCCCTGGGCATTCCTGTCTTTGAACAGGAAGGAGAATTATATGATTTAAGACACTGTTGCAACTCGGAAAATTTGACCCAAACTGGCCTAAGGCAAAGAGGAAATGTGTTGATGGTAAATGGAAATGTCCAGGAGTCAGCTTGGCCGTGTGAGTGACTTAGTGGGTCTCTCCCCGTCGCTCCATCTCTCTGTATTAGCTCCAACTTCAGGCTCTTTCCAGGCGGTGGTAAAATGGCAGCAGCAGTAGCTCCAGACCTCACATCCTCTTACGTGCAAGTGTAGCAGACCAGCCCCAGCCTTCCTTCCCAGGGAGCATCACTGTGTTTCCCTGGTCTGCTCACACCAAGAGCCTGTCTGAGAAGCAAGCCAGTGCCGGATGAGTGCACTGATTGCCCTGAGTCCTGCCCCCATTCTTGATGAGTGGGAAAAGCAGCTCCAACAGAGGAACACAGCCTAAGAATTGGGAAGAATGAAGCCCACAATGCAAATTAGAGTTGTAGCCAAAAGGGGGAAAAGGATGCTAGAGAGGCTGGCTAATCACCCTTGTTCTCCACCACGGCAAATTCTTACTGTGATAAAAAAAACAAAAACTGTAGTGGTCATTGTTGGCACCCTTTACTCCCCTTCCCAACTGTGGCAGACAGAAGGCTTGCATGGATTTGATCCCTTCCTACCCTCAAGGCAAAGCCCTGATTGGCCTAAGCCAATCATTTTAATCCGCCTCTCTTTGCTTCATTAATTTGTTCAGGTTTAGTAATAACCCAGGTCTAAGCCAATAAACATGGTTCGTCCTAGCCTCAGTGACTGATTCAGAGCCAAGCAGGTGGCCTGAAACAGACCAAAGACAGGAGCCCTAGACATGTTATGATAAGAAAAAAAAGCAGCTATTCCTACTAGCGATGGTGGAACATGTGGCCTGGGACTTCTAAAAGCTATTTTCCCACCTAAAAGCAAACCAGCTTTAGAAGCTCGTACACAAAGATTCCCTGAGAGATCGAGAAGCGTGGCCAAGCCCTGACCACACTGCTCCTGCAGTCTCCTCTGCCTCTGGGTTTTTTAACTATTAGCCCATTTGGGTTGGATTTATTATTACTTGCAACCAAAACATCCTCAGTCATACAAAACTTTATCCCAGATTAGCTGGCCATGCAGGAAGGTTCTCACTTGGCGACTGAACAATGACCATCCTTGCCACATCCACCCAAACAATATCCTCATGAGAATGCTTCCTGGTCTGTTTGCCTCTCCTCATTTCATCCTTGACTCAACCTCATGAGGTGGGCGAGGCAGGTGTATTATCTGCATTTTACAACCAGAGAAACAGGTCAGAGAGCTTAAGTGAATCACCCGAGGTTTCCTAGGTATCATGTTGTGGAGTCTGAACCTGCACCCAGCTCTGCCGCCTCCAAGGCCATGCCCTGCCACCACTCCAGGTCTCTTTAAAGGACAGTGAAACAGGTGGTCTCGGGGGGTGGGAGAAACATAGTTAAACATGCATGGATTAGCTCCAGGGCTGGGCGACCTAGGAGGCCTGCCCCATCTTTTACCTGGACCAGGATGGTGACAGCAAACAGCAGGGGCAGGCTCCCGTCCCCCTTTTAACCCATCTCCCACCTCCTGCCAAGTTTCTGGCACAGACTGATGCTCCCCGTGATAAATGCGTGCCACTCGACTGCAGATGGTGACCCTGCATGACTCACAGCCAGGCCATGGCGAATCAGTCTTTCTGGGAGCTGACCGCAGCCCCAGTGGCGAACCAGCCTTCTCCAGACTGGCCCAGCACGCCTGACCATTTCCTGGACATCCTCTTTCATTCCCCTGCAATGACCACCTCACCTCTGCTTTCCACCAGCTGGTGCAGGAGGTCCAGAGCCTGGGGCCTGGCAGCTGACGTTCCTCCCCCCCAGTTCTCGGGCACATCCAAGAACAAAACCAGGCGGGTGTGACAGGATACTCACCACCAACCCCACTGAACAGAAAACTTCCCCTGCCCTCTACTCCCTTCCTCCCGCTGTGGAAGCACAGCTCTTACAAAATAACGAGAACAATAATGCACTTTTTTTAAATAAACTTTTTTTTGTCAATCTGCACCCCTTAGCCAGCTTCCCCTATTGCAAACACCTTACATGAGTATTGTCCATTTGTTACAACTAATGAACCAATATTGATACAGGTTTATTAACTAAAGTACATACTTCATTCAGATTCCTTAGTTTTCACCTAATGCCCTTTCTCTAACTCAGGATCCCATTCAGGATACCTGATTGCATTTAGCTGCCATGTCTCCTTAAGACTGCTTTGGTTGT